AGCACCAAAAGATGGTGGAGCACCAAAAGACGGCGAAGCACCAAAAGATGGCGAAGCACCAAAAGACGGTGAAGCACCAAAAGATGGCGGAGCACCAAAAGACGGTGAAGTACCAAAAGATGGCGGAGCACCAAAAGACGGTGAAGCACCAAAAGATGGCGGAGCACCGAACCCAGCTGCACCAGCACCAAAAGATGGCGAAGCACCAAAAGACGGCGAAGCACCAAAAGATGGCGGAGCACCAAAAGACGGCGAAGCACCAAAAGATGGTGGAGCACCAAAAGACGGCGAAGCACCAAAAGATGGCGGTACACCGAACCCAGCTGCACCTGCACCAAAAGGTGGTGGAGCACCAAAAGACGGCGAAGCGCCAAAAGATGACGGAGCACCAAAAGATGGCGGAGCACCAAAAGATGGCGATGCAAATAACACACCAAAGAAATCACCACTTGACTTACCGGTTGTTCCTACAAAAATTGATCCAACTTCAACTTGCGCTTCTCCTAATGATGACAAATGCAAACCTCCACCAGGATTGTAAGTATATGTTTTAAAGTATAATAATTTATCGAATTTTTTTGTGAGAATAATGAAATTCTTTTACTTGCAATTGTAGTACTCCAATCGTTAAAACAACTACACAAGAAGAAGTAGAAACGATAACACCAGCTCCAGATAACCCAACACCAGCTCCAAATAACCCAAATAACCCAACATCAGCTCCAAATAATCCAGATAACGATAAGAATAAAGATAATAATAATAATAACGATAATAACAATAATGGTAACAACAATAACGGTAATAATGGTAAAAATGGTGGTAACGATAATGATGGTAACGATGTTAATAACAATAAAAATAACAACAATAACAACAACAATAACAACAACAATAACAACAACAATAACAACAACAATAACGACAACAATAACGACAACAATAACAAAAATAATAACGAGAAAAATAACAATGAGAAAAACAAAATAACCCAATATACAACTACCACAACAACACTTACATTATACTTTGCCGGCTATACAACTGAAATAACGACAACAAATTCTAAAGGTGCGATTACATCCTTCTCGACATACATACCTCCATCCACTGTACTTGTGGTAAAAAAAATTGCTGTCACTGCGCCCCCGATTGAAATAGGCATTTCGAAATCTACAACAACTTTACACGATTTTAATAGTCGCGGTTTATTTGGTGTTACAATGAGTTTAGCTATAGTTATTGCAACTTTAGTTTTTATGATTTTCGCGTAATTCAATTAAAAGTAAGAATATATCGAATATATTATCATTTGTATAATAAATATAATAACTAATTTGTATAATAATAATGTAAAAATAGATATATTAGTAATAAAGTTAATAAAAGGTTATAGATAAGAACTAATGTGTGATGTTGACAATGCAAACAAATTTCGGCATTTCGGCATTTCAGAATCCTTGAAAATCGAAATCATAAACCTGTAATACCGTACTCATATAGATAATCTTTATTTAACCGAATATTAACTTAAACGTGTGATATGATGCGATTAATATATTTATTAATTAATAACGATTCTCAAATTAACGTTAAACTGATTTTCGTTCACTAAACCCAACTTTCTAAAACCTTTTTTTAAAGCTGAGTCTTAAGGAAGCTCGCAGTCATTTGATTGCTTAATAAGTTCAATAAATTATTTCACTATATCACGGACCACTCATAGCATTTATTCATTCATATTTTAAAACAATTGTATGCAATGTGGTACAAAAACAGCACATAATAAGCACATTAAATAAATTCGTGGTGATTTATATATTAAATGACGAAAATTTCGTAACTTCCCTAAAAAAAAAAAAGAAGAAGAAAAAAATATTTTCAAAAATCCGCAATAATAATAATATTTGAGTAACAAAATAAAATGGAATTATTTCTTAAATGATTTACGATATTGATGCAATTCATTGTCAATAATATATAATAAAAATTTGATGTTTGTGTTAATGTTTATTATAATAATTTAAATGATTTAAAAATAATATTAATTTATCATTGGATAAATTTAAAAAAAGATTCCTCAAATAAGATCAAAACCGGTTTTTTATTAACTTTTTATGGATATAATTTCTCCCTGCAAAGACTATTTAGGAAAGTTTTAATTAGATCCTAAATTATTTATTGATTTCTTGAACTTTTTATTTTCAGTAATAATTGCTTTTTAAATATAAATATTTATAATATATAATAAATTTTAAAATATGACCAATTTACCTAAAATTAAAGTAAACATCATTAAAATTATTAAAGAGAATTTGAAACTTAATGACATGCAATATTTCTTGTGTAAATTCGTTTCGCATATGAAGTTTTAGTTGTGTAACAATAATTGTTCGTAGTTTCCCTAAAGATCTCACACAATAATTACACAATATCTTAACAAAGAATTCATCAACAACAAAAGATATATTATTACAGTTTATGTAACAACCTCCTTTGTGTCAAAAAAAATTTTTTTTTTGAATATATAAATGACTTGAAAACGTATTTAAAATAATAAAAAAAAATATTCATAAAACTAACCCCTTTTAAAATTGTTCAATATGTCTTATGTTGGATTTAAATATAAACATACACTTGTAATTATTATATTACTTGTTGTATTACTTATTACTGTTAATTTTGTCACTCCGACTTACCAAATCGAGAATAATCTTCAAAAACGACAAGACCCACCTAAGAATGACGCTCCTAAAAATGATCCACCTAAGAATGACGCTCCTAAAAATGATCCGCCTAAAAACGACCCACCTAAAAACGATCCTCCAGCTCCAAAAGAAGATCCACCTAAAAACGATCCTCCAGCTCCAAAAGAAGATCCACCTAAAAACGACCCACCTAAAAACGATCCCCCAGCTCCAAAAGAAGATCCACCTAAAAACGATCCTCCAGCTCCAGAACCACCAAAAAATGATCCCCCACCCAAAAATGATCCTCCACCACCTAATAATCCTGATAACAATAATAATAATGATAATCCTAATAATAATAATAATCCTCCAAATAATCCCAATCCAAATCAGCAAAATCCAAATCCAAACCCTAATCCAAATAACCCCCAGCCTAATCCAAATCCTAATCCAAATCCTAATCCAAATCCTAATCCAAATAACCCCCAGCCTAATCCAAATCCTAATCCAAACCCTAATCCAAATAACCCCCAGCCTAATCCAAATGATCCAAATCCCCAGCAAAATCCTAATCCAAATGACCCAAATAATCCCAAGCAAAATCCTAATCCAAATGACCCAAATAATCCCAAGCAAAATCCTAATCCAAATGATCCAAATAATCCCAAGCAAAATCCTAATCCAAATGATCCAAATAATCCCAAGCAAAATCCTAATCCAAATGATCCAAATAATCCCAAGCAAAATCCTAATCCAAATGATCCAAATAATCCCAAGCAAAATCCTAATCCAAATGATCCAAATAATCCCCAGAAACCAAATGATGCCGATGCGAATTCGGGAGAAACCGGAAAGACTGGAAAGACTGGAAAGTCTGGAGGAGATCCAGTCATTAATCCTGATCCAAGCGATGCTATAAAGACAATAAAAACAATTAATCCAACTGCAACTTGTTCTTCTCCTAATGATAACAGATGTAAAGCTCCGCCGGGAGTGTAAGTATATAATTTAATAAAATAATTATTTTTATATTTAAAACGAAACCCTAAATATATTTTTATTGTTATTTTGAATCTTAGTACACCAAAACTTGAAACATCCACACAACAAGAAATAGAAACGATAACACCGACACCAACTCCAAATAACAAAAATAATAATAATAATAATAATAATGATGCGAAAAACAAAATAACTCATTGGACAACAACCACGACAACACTTACATTATACTTTGCCGGTTTTACAAAAACAATTACAACAACAAACGCTCAAGGACAGCCTACAACTTTCGCGACATATATTCCTCCATCTACTGTACTTGTAGTGAAGAAAGTTGTCGCCACTGCAGCTGGGCTTGATGATGGAACATTTGAAAGTGATTCTACTACAATTTCACAAGATCTTAGTCATGGTTTATGGGGTATTATAATGAGTTTGGTTGTATGCACTTGTACATTAATTTTTATGGTAATCGCGTAATTTTAAATATATTTTTATTAATTATTAATTTTTATAAAATATAACAAACAAATGTAAAAGTTATTTGTAATAAAGCTTAATAATATTATATATTGTAATTATGACTTATTATTTAATTTTAGAAAAAATTTTGTTAGTTTCTTACAATTAAGTAGAATATAAAAAAGGCTGATCAAATTAACGTCGGAATACAAAGAAAACATTGTGTTTAAAAATATATAAAATAAATAAATATAGTGTACAGATTTTCTTTATATCGATTCAACGTAAATGAACTGAAGTGTACCGTATATTGCGTACTACGAATTCTATTGTGACATTCTTGAGTACAGAAAAATAGTCATAAAAGATGTATGCTTCACAATACGGTGTAATTACTCATTGGGATGGCTGTACGCTATCCTTCCTGATATATTTGCTTCTGAAACAGGCTCCAGCTAACCATCCCGATAATCTTGCGTTATCTGATACCAAGGCTGAAACCTGTAGATGTAATAAACTTAATATAGGTAACTGATTATACCAAAGGTTACTCAAATCAAATGACAAGTGTCAACTGATCGGAATTATCCGATTCCGACCTTTCTGGTCCAGATTTTTGTGTACCAGTCGACCAGTCGTTTCCCTTACTCGTCTCCAATATAGAAATAACGAAAGAGTATCTCATCTTGAAACTCTTCAGTTTGAAGTCGTTAACAAAGCCAAGTCTTTATATTATTCTCTTCAGGGAATGAGAGAATGAGAGAAACGGAATAGTTAATATGTAAAATATATTATAATGTGAAATGTGAAAATACATTCCGGATTAAATAATAAGAAACGAGAAGCTTTTAGAAATATCAATAATATTATTAAATCTTTGACTAAGAGTTCCAATAAACTATGATCGTTAATTGATTTTTCCAAATCAGAAACTTCATATTAAAATCTCTTATATTTAAACATCTGAAATAACAAATAATAGAAGAAAAAGACGTATCTTCATAACAGGTAAGAAGTTTTTCTGTTTAGGCTTTGTTGGTTCTGTCAAGATTAGTCCATATTAATCCATGAACCTATTATTAGATAAGTAGTTTTGATGTTTCGTTTCATGATGCATAATTAAACCGAACACTAAAACAAGATACATCGCATTCTAACAAAATATTATGTGGGATACGTTATAGGATCCAAGATTATTTCAAAAGAGAATCAGTAATATAGGGCTGTAGCCATGTAATACTTGTAACAACGTAATTTATTATGACATTAATAAATTTTCCGTTTTGAGGAAATATAATATCTATTAATGTATATCTTAAACAAGCTAATTTCAGTTTATTACATTGTATTTAAAGGAAAAATCATTATTACGGTTTAGTTGAAGTTTTTCCTAATAGTTCGTGAAAATTCTTAGCATTCCTTTGTAAACGGGACTTATGAAATAGATGAATTTAAATCAACAAAAGGGAGATAATGATATACAACTAATATACAGTATTAAAAATAATAATACCAACCTTCCATGAAAGTATCTTGTATAGAGCCTTTAAACATCGTGGAAATTCATTGACTGTTTGTGGAATGGTTATATCTGATAGTCCGAAAATACATATAGTTTCTTCAAACATATACGATGCCGCAGACAAAGTTAAATTGAGACCTAAAAGATTTACAATACCAATCAATACTGTATGGATTTTTCATGTAGGAAGGAACTTCTACTTACCATTAGTTTGGATTACATAAACTTCAAAATTATATATTTCAGAACGGGATATGGCAGGTAAATTCAAAAAAATACCTAAAAGTAAAATTTTGGTACAGTACTCCAATTTTGAAGGGTCACTTGCTTGAGTACCATTTTTCACATTTTCTTGAAATATAACTTCTACACCAGATGACATGGTAGTTACTTCGGAATCAACCTTTGGGTCTTGCGCCTTAACAAGCTTTTTAAGTCTTTCAAATGCATTTGATAGAATTTTATCACTAAAATGTAAAAATTATTATTATACGTAAAGTAATTTTTCCCCAAAAAGAAAGCTTTCATTATTACAATTTACCTAGAAATAAACATCACATCTTTTCCTAAAAATGCAAAACTAATCAACGGTATCCAGACATAAGTAAAATACTCATTTTCAGTCATTGTCCTACTTAGAATATCATTTGTATAAAGGATATACCTGGTTATAAAAATAGTAACATGGAATAATAAGCATATGCATATTTGATATTAATGATAAAAGTTTCATTTTTTTAAATCTTTTACACACATATGATTAATAAACTGGTGTACATATTTGATATTGAAATTGTTATTTTTCCCATCATAAACAGGATTTTCAAGAAGAGTCTGACGCAATTCATCTAACGTTGTCTACAATGTATAATAATTTTAGCATTGAATTCTGTGATGATAAATTATTTGAAGAATAAACTTACACAATTTTGAAATTTATCCAGATATTGTTGAACCTCATCTTCAACTTCTACTGTAAACTTATTAAACCAGCGCTCCTTTGTGTCGTCAATGAAAATTTTTCTAATATTGTCATCATCTAATTGTTCTTGCATGTAACAAATCAATGATGATGAGAGATACTTAGTACATGATATTTTATTAAAATTCATTACGCCTATTTGCAATGGTCTATGTTGATAAATAAAATGTCAGATCTTAAATTAATTTCATAATACTAAAAAAAAAATCTAATTACGTCTCTATATCTTTAGCATTCTCGCGGAAGGATTGACAAACATTTGTACCTTTCCATATCCATTTACAACCAGCTAAAGGAATCAATTGTAAACTTGCAAATGTCTCTTCTGCTAAATCATTTTGAATATATTTAGATACATTTCTTTTAGGTACCTTCACAATATTTGAAAGATATTCAGTACGATATAGAACAAAATTCAACAAACTTAATCTATCTCTTTTTACAATTTTTTCTTTGTCATAGCGCTGGTCTTCATCAAAATATTCTTGTTCATTTTCATCATCCTTTAGTCTTTTCTGTGGTTTGTAATCATCATTCTACAAAAATGTTAGTATTTGATATACAAGTAATTTCTTTTTTCTTAAAGAAAGATGCCAACCTTTTCTATTTCTCTTTTTAATAAACTTCTTTTGAGCGAACTAGAAAATTCCTAATAACAAATAAAGTTAGGATATGAATGTAATATTATAAATCAGACTTCTTATCAGTGAACTTACCGAAAATAGTAGGCGATTTACTTCTTTAGAGATATAGTATTTTCGAGATTGATCTTCTATACACTATAAAAGAGTTAAAATATAAAAAACACAAAACGTCTATGCCGCCAAATACGCGTCGCTTTAACATCTTAGACATACCTTCTCCATGTTTGCAGCAGATTTTGTTAGCTGGTAGCGTATGCACTGAGCCACATGTTGGTTCAAAGCACTTGTGATCTCTTGGTCCAGTGGTACAAATTTCTACAAGTAAAATTTAAAAAAAACATGTTCGTCAAACATTTCACGATACGTCCTGCTCAATAGCCAACAAGTATACATCTCTTTCTTCACCTCACAAACTTACTTGAAATTCTATTAATTTTCGGATAAAATCACGATGCTCGCAGTTGATATTCTTATTAGACACTAAACTTTTCAGAGCGGTCAACCACATTACTTCAACACTTTCCAGATTATCAACTACATATTCTGATTTAATTATCTGCAATACGAAATTACGATAATTCCAATGTTTTATATCTAATTGTTGTAATACTGGATGCAAGTCATCAGGAGCGACAAATGAATCCGAAGTCTCCAGAAATGGAGTTTGATCATTAATATTTCTCGAAATATCAATTAACATGTTGTGCAAGTTCCTCAAGTAAGTAACTGGTGAACAAATAGAGCTGGCTTCTGGTCTCCAGTAAAGTTCACGGACATGTTTAAAAAGCTTTTTAGTACAGTAAGTGTGCAGGTAAAAAACAAAACTAGCACGCGATTTGTACTTACGGAGAAAAAAGACGTACAGAAATTCGTTAAACGCGAAGAAATTTTAAACATAAATGTTCAGAATTCAAATAGATTTTTTTCAATAGAAGTTAACGAATAAAAAAAATGGTTAAATTTTTCCAAGTAAGGTTATTATTTATTATAACCAACTTTAATACTCTGAAGAAATATTTCAATAATTCGCACGTAACTTACGGTGATTCACTTAGCTAGATGATAGTGATCTGTATATCTACTTTATATGAAAATCGCACACCTCGTGGTTAACAACTTCTTTGGTAAATTTTACATCTATTATGTAATTGACCATCATTCTTATAATATGCAGTGAGTTATGCTACTGCGGATGTCATATTCAGGTCTTACGTTTTATGATTTTAGTTAAAGATAACTTAAGAAGGAAATAATGCCAAGTGTATAAACTTTATCTTCTTCGCAACAAGAAGTAGGACGTCTACGTGAATATTCTTTGGTGATCCTGGTGTTCCGCTTTACTAGTGTAATTGTTTTCCAACAAATAAAACAAATAAGGTTTTTATTGTAAGGGACATCATAATAAAGATCAGTAGCAAATTTTAACACACCCGCTTTTTCATTAGCAGGTTGTAAAGACAGCGGAGTAAATGATGAACGTTTGATGCGAGTCCTGGTAAGGGTAATATGTGAGTGGACTTGAGAAATTGTTTACATAGCGTAATTGGATCTGGATTGGAGCGAATTATAAGTATTGTGTTTACCTGTTAAGCATAGAATTCCCTGTAACATAACTCAACAACTCCCGTCTTCACATTCGTGTAACATATTTGGAACCATATTTTCTTATTTTATCTTTTGATATTCTCAATGTTTTGATTTAAGGCCTTAGGTTGACAATTCTTATAGTTTCAGATGTTCGAAAGAATTGAATGACAGAAATCAGTGTCTCCATGTTTGTATTCAAGAGATTGTAAGTCCAGTTAAATTGGAGTCTTGGGTAATTTAAGTTTGATATAGATATAATCATCAGGCAAATGAAACTTGAAATGAAAATAATTCAATAAATAAAATAGTTTTATATAATAAATTTTTTTTTGATATCCTTTGTAGAATATAATAATTAAAGAATTTTAAAATAGTAATTTATATTTTCTTTGTTATTTATTTCAAGTAATGATATATCTAATTCTAATCCACTTGTTGATTTCTATGTTTCTATTTTACAAAAAAACTATTATTTCACCACGATTAATTGAAATTATTTCTGCTAAATTTAAAAGTAGTAAATCATCTTTTGTATGGTCATTATCTAGTATGAAAATAATAAATAATCAGATGATGTATAAAGTTAAGTATAACATTTAAAATAATGAATGTTTGTATTTATATACAGTATATAAAAATGCAATAAAAATATACGCGTATATAATAAAGTTTTCTTACCTCAATTATTCTTCCATCAATTACATCGTTTGATGTAATTAGATTAGTTTCTTGTCCATTAACTTTTATGATCCACCGACGAGCTTTTAAATTATGATAATTTATACGTATTAAAAATACTTGCATTAAGAGACACAATATAAATAGAATCATCCTAAAGGCTCATCAATAATAAATTTCTTTTGAATTAGAGGGGAAAGAATTCTATGTAGTCCATAATGCATCAATTGCATCATGCAGCACTATATATTGATTTCCAATGTCATATTCCCAAAAATTTTCTCCAATTAATGAGGAATATAATTTTACTATAAAACATTTTACTATAAAAATTTAATTTAATTGTTAAAACAAAAATTAGAATTAGATATGATCTTGATCTGCACAAGTCTAAACTTTATCTGTTCGTGGTTTTTAGCATCAAGAGCAACTGACATCAATTCTAAAAGACTGTTCTCTACCACTCTTTCCTCTGAGCAAAGAATTTTTACTTATCTTCATAACTTATTGATTTTCAAACTTCAGTTTTTCAAATGAGACATTTCCAACATGAGATTTCCTCTGTATTTAATGTATGTAAAAAAAGATGGTCAAAAAGAATGGTGCAAAACTGGAAAGCTAAACAGGTCCTCTCAATATTTTGCATCCATCCTGAAATTCTGTTGAACAAAAAATGATTTCTCGTTTGAGACTGTAGTCAAACAATATCGTTACACCCAGGTTCTTGTAAATTATTGCTAATAGCCCAGACGAAAATTTCACGAAGATGGGAGTTATCCATTTCAAGTATTGAATCTGAAAAGATTGAAGTTATCGGAGATCCACGCAAACGTTCACACTCCTATTGTATTAATTGTGATATTTTTCAAGGTAAGTATTAAAAGAATGAAAAACGCGAATTTTATCTAGAGCATCTAACTAAATGTTTCGTTGTTCAACCATTTAAGTTGAATCATGGGCTACTCTTGTATGAGTATAAAATAAAAAAAAAGCTCGCCACTCTTATTAAGACCATACATGGTACATTACCTTTATGTTGACAAAATTTAAAGGTCTTTTCTTCGAGATTTCACATATATTCCAAATATTCCTATCTAGAATAAAGCATAATAAAAGGATGATCGCACGTGTTGAGATATCTTACTGCGGTAAACAATGTTCATTGGTATTACTATAATATTAATTTTATTTTTTATTTATTAAATGTTTTAAACCACAAATGAACAAGTTAAAAAAGTAACTTGTTTAAAATAATAAAAATTTAAAATTTTTTAGTTAAAATTAAACTAACAAATAATTAAAACAAATTTAATAAAAGAAAAATCGAGAAGTTAAAGTTATTAAAGGAATATATAAAAAATATTAAGAAATAATTGTCCTTTATTCCTCCATTAGATACTGCAATTTTCGTTTGATTTTACTTATCATATTGATTAAAATTGGTGCTGATAATATCACCAAACAAGAAATTATCTGTAACTTCTTTACCAACATTTCTACAAAAAGGAGAACTACTTCTACTCCTGTCATGATCATTTCTTGATTGTGGTCTAGGTAATCTGTTAGCGGAAGAAGTTGTCGTGCTGGACTTAAGAGGACGTAAATTTGGATTAGATTGACTGGTATAAGGATATGATTCTGCCAAAAAATGACGCTCGATAACCGAAATTTGTTTGGTGTCAGATGCCGGAACTCTCTCGGTCTGTGTAAGTTCGTCTGGTTCAGATGTTTCAACTGTTTCAGGTAAAATATAAGATTTGTATAATTCTCTAACATATTCATTATGACTGTAAGATTTTTGACGTCTTACAGGAAATGTGTGTCTACGACGTCTTTCTTTATTCTCATTCATCTTTGATATGAATTTGATTTTGAATTTGAATTTTTGAAAATTAATTTGAAAATGTATCGAATATTAATAAAAAAAAAAAAAAGAATTTAGATTTTTTTAGAGGTATTTATCATATTTTTAAATCTTCGGAATTGTTCGTTATAATAATTAACTAAAGTCTAATTCTAACCTTTTTAAGCCAGGTTACATCACGTACATTATTATGACAAAATGTGGTGAGAGAATAAACCTAATTCATTTGTACAAAAAATTATGGTGTGATTTTTTTGATTGTGTGACGCCAAAATTTTTGTGACGCCAAAATTTCACATGATTCTTTTGTCAGCAATAAGAAGAAAACAAAAAATAAAAGTATTCTACTATCTTCGATTATATTAATTTCACACGAATAGTTAAGCATAATGAGAAATTTTCTGTCTTGAGAAAAAGAAAAATACGCCAAACGGAAATTTTACGTATTAAGACTTTAACTGATGATTTGCTTATTTTGGTTAGTTTGCAACTTGCAACAATGCATCATGCATTCTTTTGACCATCGAGCTACTTATCGAATATAACAATTAATTAAGCTCAGTAACGAGTTTTTCTATTACATCTCATTATATCTAAAAGGATTCGTTTCAGTTTATCGAGATACCATTAATCCAAAGTCTCAGTTATCTGAAATTCAATCGATCTACATTACGCAGTGCAATCCGCAGTAAAGTGTAAAAGTATAATCTTTTTTGTTTTTCATCATAAATAGGTATTTTAAAGTATTTTACAGGAAAGAACATCTAAATAATACTACACATAGTAATATATATTAATTATTTTACAATGTATTATGATAATAAGTTTATTTCTCTTATACCTCTCGTTTAAAATAATTTTTAACCAAATTAGGTGGTTTTTTTTCCCACGCATGTATATTTATGTAGTTTACTTACCAATAGTGGTACACGCTAGATAATCAATTTATCATATCACTCCTAATTCCCATTTTCTGCCGATGTGTGTGAACCTTTTTCTTGCATATTCATTTGCCAAACATTATTTCTGAAAAACGCGTTACTTGAATAATTCATTGGATGCACCAGTACCAAAAAAATATTTCCCCTGAACTTTTTTTATGGAGATCCGTTTAGCAGGGATTTGGTTAAAGCACGGGAATATAAGTATATCTTTGATCTACATAGTTAGGTAAGTGAACAGGTGATCCGCATCATTTTTTTCACCTCCCTTTTTTTTATATTTTTGTTCAACTTGAAGAAGAAAAAGATTCATTGGAAAAATGAAGTTTTTGCCTATCATATTTGTGATTTGAATTTGTATTGGCTACTAATATTATGGGTTTTATGAAAAAATGATCGATAAGTATATTAATTATTCTTTTATTAACAAAAACTTATATTTAGTTTGGCATCTCAAGGTCTAATTGATGAAGAAGTTCAGAAATCCAGATCTTTACAAAAGAAAGTTATAATTTTTAATCCATGATAAATACATTTTTTATCGACTATTTCAAAATACTTGTTGACAGAAAATTACACATCTTATCTCGTAACGATATAGGCGTTGATTTGAACGGATACATATTGAATATATATAAAATACGTTTTAGAATTTAAATAATTCCAAGATGACTTTGACTGTAGCGGCGCAATAAAATCACATCGATACATTTTAATAAAGTTTGGCCAGAACTGATAATCATCTCCTTATTTAATATAACTGACACCTCATGTTTCTTTAGAATAAATAAAATTAAATGTGACATGTTTGGAGACTCCAGAAATGAGATTATATTTTATTAAATTATTGTCATTTATCATGAACTACCTGAATTACGCGAAATTGAAACAGAAGCATCCCGATATTTTTCTTGATTACACTCTCTTGTTATAAATAAGGCATACAGTATGAGGTATAATTTGTAATTTTCGCCGAGAAAAAGTCTAATTAATAATTATAACCTTAAACCAGAGAAATGGAACAAGGTTCATGGTTTCGTTTCGTTACCCGGACAATAAATGCTTTGGAATTTCCGTTCGATTATAATGTATAAATGTAGGGACTCCAGAGTTGCAAATTGGTTGCTAATAATTCCACTGGCTAACTTACATTACATTAGTTACTAAATTGACTCTTTGTCCTAGATCAAAGAAAAAAATTCTATAATCATGTGATAGTACCAGTTACCGAAAAATTCCCTGGAAGCCCGCAGCAAATGACAATCAGACTTTTAGTGTTCATCTGTTCATAAATAAAAAGGTCACTTTCTTCGTGATCACCCTATTTTTTAATAAAAACCGGTTTTCAGTCGTATTTTTAGAATTATCATCAGATGATCTTTCAGATTAAAATAATTGATAGGTTGTACAATATTTCGTAGTACCAATACAATTTAATGAATAGATTAATTTGGAAACAAAAAATCCAACAAAAAAAAATTGAAAAAAAAATTGTTAGAAAATCACAGTAAGTACCAATCTTAATCGTGAAACTTTCAACTTTTTTATTTTGATATATCCATATGGGGAAAAATTTCAGTGCTATCCGGGTGTAAAAGTCGCTTAAATTATGAGGGGTAACTGTGTGTCTGTGTAACAAGGCTTATCAAATTTTAAGTGCATTTCAAATGATGATAGACTTTTTAACAATATATTTATTTTTCTATCTTTTGAAAATTTTTTTTTTTATTATAAAAATTCATATTTAATTATTAATATCAACTTTGACTGAAAAATCCTTTGATTACGATATAACTTTACGTAACGAAAAATATGTCTTTGGCCGAAACTGCCGTACCATTTGGCCAAAATGAGACACTTATTTCATCCATTCGTAATATTCTAAAGGTTTGTCTTTGGAAAAGTCATGTCACTTTTTATATTTAAAACACGAATTTAATAAATTTTATTAGGATTATCATCCCGTGAGCATATTTAAGGAATTTCTTCAAAATGGTGATATAAATTTATTAATATTATTTCGAGTTCTTGAATTATCATTCTCAATATCTTATCTTTAAAAACAAATGCTTTAGCCGATGATGCCGGAGCTACTCGGTTTCATGTAATCCTTGACTACCGTTCACATCCTACAAACTCTCTAATTAATCCGGAAATGAGAGATTGGCAAGGCCCAGCTATCTTGATATTCAATAATGGGATATTTGAGGATGTAGATTTCCAATCGCTCATGAATATACGTGTTGGCGGAAGGCAAGGTGATAGAACAATGATCGGGAAATATGGATTGGGCTTTAACTCGTGTTACCATTTTACCGATGTTCCAAGCCTTATCAGTCGTGATTCCATTGTGTTTCTGGATCCCCAAGAAACATACCTGGGACAACGTGGTATCAAAAGCCCTTTTCCCAGGAATGGCATTCGTCGGTACTCTGAAAGGGACCAATTGGTTCCTTTTGAAAATATTGAAGGCATCGATTTTCGATCAACTTTTAATGGGTCACTTTTTCGAATACCACTTCGAAGGAGCCGTAGTGATATATCCAATAGGGTTTTTACTATAGAAGAAGTCAGAAGTTTATTTTCCAATATTAAAACAACTATATTATCTGAATTTTTATTTCTTCGAAACATCGAAAAAATTGAAATGTCCTACATACCCCACGTACGTATCGGAGCTTCATTTCAAGTAAGACCTTTATGGAAAGCTGAAATAATAGATTTGGACGAAGTAAGAGATCAAAGAAGGCAACGATTAAATAATGATGAAATTCGAATTTTCCAAATGAGGATCAAACTAATTGACAGTGAACAAATTCAAATTAATAACGAACGCAACGAACGTTGGATTATTGTAATTGGTGCTCAAGAAAATCCTGAAGAACAAGAAGAATATGCTGATCAACATCGATTATGCGTGTTAGGAGGTGTCGCTGCACGACTTGAAACCTCAGTGCGACCGAATTTTTTTGTGGGTAAAATGCATTCTTTTCTTTCATTGCCCGACGTCACGTACTTGCCAGTTCATCTTAGCGGAACCTGGGCTTTGAGTTCGGACCGTTCAAGGCTTTTAATCGATAATGGGGAATGGGATTCAGATTATCAGAAAATCATTTGGAATAGACATATTTTGCTTGATTTTTTACCAAAACTTTATTGCAAACTTTTAAATAATATAATCGAATTATATAATAATAATGAAATTGATCGCGAAATTCATCCCGTCTCAAAGTTCTGGCCGTTCCCACCTATCACTCATAATTGTCCAAAGTACGCAGTTGAATACGGTCTTAAAGTACTTCATAATATATTACAAAATGAAGATACCTTCCAATTGATTGATAATGACGATGACGCTAATGAGAAAGTAGACATTCTTTTCAATCTCTTACCACGTGATCAGGTTAAGGATGTCCATACCTTACTACAAAATAATTGGGATGGAATTGGTAACTTCCTTTAAATTTAAATTTATATATAATCTTTGCAATTAAATTTATTTGTTTTTTTTTTTGAATTTCTTTCTGTCTTTTGTAGGGGTGAGATCGAATCCTGACCTTATGTCACTGGTCAGATCATTGCCTATTTGGAAAACACTCTCAGATCCGTTAAATGAAGATTTTGAACCGCCTTTAAAAGCAGCATTACACGGACACATTTTACCCAGAAAAATGCCGCATTATCGAACAAGAGATTCCAGAATTTTTTTAGATGCTAGTATTGATATTACTCGTCGAGTTCTTACTGAACTCAATGTTCCCTTGCGAAATATCCGCGATTATACATTCGAGGACGTTGAATTCCCTACTGTCGAATGTGATAATTATTATCATCATTTCTTAAGAAACATACTCAGTACCAATACAATCACTGGAATAGTTCAAGGTTTACGACCTAGGCGTTGTTTTCCTACATCTTCTCGTAGATTAAAGAGAATTAACGACTTATATGATCAAAACAACGAAGTCTTTAGGATCGTGTTTGGAAATACGGATGTCTTCCTTCATCCTGACTTTTCAGATTTCTCATTGACATTGTCAAGTATTGGATTTAATAATACAATCGATCAAAGGACATTTATCAAGTGTGCAGAGAAAATTGAGGAATTACAAACTGATACGAGCCCTCCATCTGACTTACGATACAGAGGTTTTATATTAGTTGATTATTTATATAAAAATATTGAAGAATTTGATTTAGAGGCCATTGAAAGAATTCCGTTTGTTCCAATTGCTAGAAGTTTGGATTTACCCTACAGTCAACACTATAATCATACTCAAATATTAGATAGTTTTAGGAATATAATTATTCCCAGATATAAAGAAGTTGCATGGAGTAGAAAGTGCTTGATTGCGGAAGATGTAATACCGCCGCAAACCATACTCCAAGATTATCCTTCACTTGGTAAACCAAGTGCTCCTATTGTAGTAGTACATCTCCGTTTCTTACATAGAACTCTCCGAGATGAATGGAGGAATAATTGGGCTGGAGCATTTAAACATAACATTGAAGAGATTTATAAATGGCTTGAAGGGGAATGTCTAAATGGAGAACTTAACTTATTAGATTACATTAGAGAAGAAGATAGGTTGTTTCTCAATATTAATAGAGATCAAGATCCATTTGATCTTCGCAACTGGGTTTCTGCAGATGATTTGATTCTGAATGCTGCACCGGAGGAGGAGAGATTTGTAAAGTCAAGTCTTGCTACATATCCTAATATGCTCAGAAGTGTTGGTGTCCGAGAAGTTACACGGCCAAATTTTGAAATTAATGTTAGAAGACATAACCAGTCAAATTTTGGTCAAAGCAACATGTTTAGATATTTCTTGGATCAAAATTTCCCCTTGCACGATGTCACTTTTATAATGAATAACGATAGGATAAAGACAAGCCGATTCGTACTCGCTGCAAGCTCTGAATTTTTCCGCGAGGAATTCGTTACAGGGAGATATGCAGGACAAAGTCCGCCGATTACAATCAATATTAGGAACCTTGAACCAATTAGGGACATTAGATTCAATTCAATGCGCATTTTGTTACGCTACCTCTATGGCCAAAGTATTGATCATGCAATTCAAAATCGTCAAAGCTTAAATGGTGATGATGAAGAACATCATATTGTAGTGAATGATAGCAATAATTTAGTACTATATAAAGATTTACTTAAGATGGCAAATTATTTCGTGTTAAATCATTTGAAAGAGCTAATGGAGTTGAGACTTTCATATTTAGTTACAAGGTTGAACGTTCAAGAAATGAATAGGTTTGCATCAAGTTCAGGGGCCAATCAACTCAGAGGATTTTGTGAACGTTTTATCGAAACTAATGGTAGGTTGTAAGAATGAAATAATGTAATATGATCGTTATTTAACGTTGTTTAATATGTATATTTAAATATTAAATTGTAAAATAAGTAAATAAGTAAATAATCTATTCAACTATCACGATTGTTTCATATTTTTCTAATAAAATTTATTAAAAAATGTTATAATGTATATGATTAGATAGATCAGGTGACATTAAATCAACATAAAAATAATGATGTTAGATCATCTTTGTATTATTGATTATATAACAAAATCAATGGAATACGATTCTTTGAAAAGCTATATAAACGTGCATTAAGAGAGAAGTTATATAATGCGCGCATTTATATAGTGTGCACTTAGGTGGCGTTAGTGTACTGGAATACTGGATATTAAATAATGAATTGCACAGTTATTTGAAATTAATTGGTAATTATTTTATCGTTTCGTAAATTTTATTTCTAAAAAGTTTAAAAAGAACTTTTGAAATATTTTTTTTTAAAAAAAATGGACCAAAAATATACTAAATATCAATAATTTTGCGCGTTAAAAAACAAAAGATAGATGTTAATTAAATAACTGAAAATAAAAAATAAAAAAAAAAAAATCAATTTTTTTTTTTTTTTGCGACGATTGTTGCGTACGGAAAACTTTGACAAATTCCTTAAAGAAATTTGAAAAAGTTTTTTACAAGGAAAAAAAATAAAATATATAATAATTCTTTTTGGATCAAGTACATCCAATTAATCCAAGTAATCGACCAAATGCAATTATGATAAAACTAATAATAATTTTTTGTATTGTTATAATGGTTGGAGCAATTACAGGAATCAATGTTCCAACAAAATCTTCTGGTTGAACAAATTCTTCTTGACGACGTATAATATATTTACCATCATTTCCAAAAGTAAGATCTAATTTAATAAAAAGTCTAATGATAAAAGTAAATTATATTAATAATAATAATAATAATAATAATAATAATAATAATAATAATAATATGAATAATATTAATATATAAATAATAATAATATTAATAATAATAATATTATTATTATTAATTGAATAATAATAATAATAATAATATGAATAATAATAAAATATAATTACCGATTTCGTCTTTCTACCCAAAAGAAAATGCCACGACGTGCAGATTGACTTACTTCAATAACTGCTTTACGAGATTCTTCATTATACCCTATTTTAAAGTTTAAACAAATTTGATTGATAAATTAATTAATCTAATATATATTAAATTTACTTTTAATTAATTTCAGGAGGTTACTCAATACTTACAGATATCATTAATTCGAGATTTATCATTCCAGATGAAAACTAATGAAATTCCAAAATAAGTAAATTAAAAATAAGCATTTTAAAAAAGAAATTAAAATAAGTAAATTAAAAAAAACAATTAAAAAAAGTAAATTATAATAAGCATTTAAAAAACAATTAAAATAAGTAAATTAAAATAAGCATTTAAAAACAATTAAAATAAGTAAGCATTTAAAAAATCAATTAAAATAAGTAAGCATTTAAAAGACGTTTAAAATAAGTAATTAATAGACTAATTTAAATGTAAATAATGTAAATAAGCATATAGACATTTAAAAATAAGTGAATTAAAATAAGCATATAGACATTTAAAAATAAGTGAATTAAAATAAGTATTTAAAGACTTTTTTAAATGTCTTTTAAATTACTTAAATTACTTATTTTTAAAAGATAATGATAATTACCACGATTAAGCCTATTTAAAGCAGTAAAATTTTCAAGGGAATCCTTATTACTAGGGATGTATTGAGTAAAACTTTTATATTCAATATTTTCATGATAATATTTCGTTTGATCACTTAAAAGTTTTTGATTTGAACCAAGGATAATTGGAATAATTTTTGGAATGTCGGTAAGTGGGTCATCCATATTCTTCTAATTGAAAGTAATGGCAATTTGTGTGGAAGTTTTTTTTGGAAATTTTTTTTTTTTTTTTTTTTTTTTTTTTTTTTTTTTTTTTAAAAAAAAAAAAAAAAAAAAAATTTTTTTTTTTTTTTTTAGACCACAATGAGAATTATCAGATGTTTATTTTCACCTGTGTAATATATATCTGCGAAAAAATTTCCTTCATTCAATATTACATACATACATATAAGATGAAAATCTCATTTTTTATGAATTCGATGTAAAGAATGTTATAATTAGAATGGTACATGTATGTACTAAATCATAATCATTTTTTCCATGGGAATAAAAATTTTTTTTTTTAAAGTTTTTTCTGATTTTTAAAACAATTAGGTGTTACGACATTTTTTTTTTTACAATGAATTATAAAAAAAAGTTGACTTTCATTCATTATTACATATTCCTTTAAATGGTCATGACTTTCATCCATAGTTTTTTGGGGGAAGAACGAGAAAGAAAAAAAAAAAACAGATTATCGCAAGAATAATAAATTTGATTTTTTTTTTTCTTTTTCTCGAGAGAATAGTCCTAATTTATCATCATTGAAATATAATAATATTAATCGAATTTCGATAAAGATAGAACTTGAACTTTTTCGAAAATTTTCGAGGAGTTTTTTTTTTTCTGTCATACAACATTCAAATCAAAATCAAATGTTACATCCTCTTTCACATTCAATACATTTCAATTCAATTACATTCAATTCAATCAAAAGGTATTGTTTCTACTTTTGATTGCGATGAATAAAATCTTTTAAAAAAAAAATCACTTATGGTACAAACACGGGCCATCTTAATTGTTGTACGATAAACGTGTTTAATTGTTTAACCGTTCGATATATATATATAATAAAAGAAAATCACGTGAAGAATTTTATTAACTAGAAATCAATAAATCCTAACTTTGGTAATTATAAAAAAAAAAGCCACAGATGATTTACTAAATTCATTTGGTCTTTTGAATCAGTTTTTTTTCATGCATATGATTACGACATCTTTATTATGGTTGCGCAAATTTACGAAGGAAATACGAACTAAAAATAATAAATAAATAAATATTTTCGGAAATTCTCGTATAAAATGTGCCGCACGGTTAACTCATAAACGATTAACCTATAAACATACCCCAATTTATCAGACGTATTTTTCATTAATATTTTTCTTTATTTGTTTAAAACGTATCATAATTTAAAAATGTATTATAGAAATAAATAAAGAAAAGGAAATAATAATGAAAATTTTAATCCATAAATTGTAAAGTGGAAAATTTAAAAGTAATACAAATAGAAAAAAATCATGGAAAAATTTAAAAAAGATGCTCGATTAATAATTTTTTGATGTAATATTATTATTAATTTTAAGTGGCTGTAATATACATGAGAAATCGAGAAAATAAAAAATTTCGAGTATTAAAAGAAGGGGCATAAAAAATAACTAATCCATTTCTTGTTCAGTGATGATTCCGATTATTGGGACCTATTACCCACTGTTTCATTTACTTCCAATTTTGGTGTTGGCACATATTTTGGGTGTTGGCAACATTTCTTCTGACTTCACACTTTTGATGTATAACAGATAATAAATTAAATTAAATGATAGATTCGTCGATTTTTAATTTGTGTAATAAATAATATTATTATCTCATTTATGCAAATCAAAATTCAAAAAATTAGCGTTAATCCATTTAATGTACATATATAGTAAATTACGCGATTAATTAAAATGATTAAAATCGGTTAAATCGGTTATATAAATTATGATCCTTGAGTAATATTTATATTAATAATTTTGATATTCATTGTAAATAAGTAAATTTCAAATAAGAAAACAAATCGATTAAGTTTTTAATTTTTTTATTTTTTTTATTTTTTTTTATTTTTATTTTTTGATTACAAATTATTACAAAATAAAAAAAAATATAAAAAAAACAACAAAATATTAAAAATTCCTTTTTTTTTTTTTCTAATCGTCAAGATCGTAAGAAAGCCAAAATACCATAAATTAATAAAAAAACATTATATTTTAATTAATTATTGCTTTTACATAATCAAATTATTATAATTATAATTATTAGGCTGAAAATCGGCCATTTCAAATTTGTGAAACAATTATAAATGCAAATGACATAAAAAACGTGCCACCATTAATTCATATCCAAAATATCCAAAATTAATTAAAGAATATTAATTAATAAAAATAATAGATCATCGAATTGAATTCAATGATCTTCGGTACTCGAAAGCATAAAAAAAAACGCAACTTTTTTATTTTATTTTAATTAGTAACACAATACGTGGCTATCGGTCGATTGAAATTTTTATGGGCGTTCCAAAAAAAAAAAATAAATTAATAAAAAAAATTGAATAAATCGTCATCGCCGTTAAATTTATTCGTTATCTTTACCCGATTTGGTTTATTTGTGTCAACAAAAATTTCGTAATTGGCAAAAGGAAAATTTTACAAATAAATAATTTCTTAACTTTAAAATTTGTTATTTTATTCGTTTATCAGATTACAATAAACTAAGCTACATTTGTTGCATTAAAAGAGATTTATGAGTACGGAGTAAAAAATCCATTGGCGTAATATATAAAAATGAACGCCTTATATTTCTTTGATCATGGGAAGACTTTGTGTTCTTTGAAAAGATATAAAAACATAAAATAAATCACTTTGGATTTCGGATTCTTTGGAATTTGATGGAAGAATTCAATAACTGACCTTTTCGCAAACCCTGGTGGTTTTATATAAAACCCTACTCTTTTTTTTTATTATTATTATTACTATTATTATTATCGAAAAAAAAAAATATATATAAATATATACACGTTTATAGATCGTAGCTCTCCCTAATTAAATTATAGAAAATTCGTATCTTAGAGAGTAGCTAAAGAAAATCAAGGTTTCGATCCTTTATACATTCTTTTATTATAATAATAATTTTTTTTTTTTTTTTTTATGATCTTTAGTCAAATGACCCAATTTTGTTTATTCAGACCACCCAAAGGTGGTTATTTATCGTTTTTACCAAATGAGATTTTATATATCTTGTTGGATCAATTAGATGATAAAGATCAATATCATCTTTCTTTGACTTGCAAAAAGTTTTATCATTTAGTAAGATTGAACTTATTTGGTATCGTGACACCAGTTTGGAAGGATGCGGAAGTTATCGGTTTGGAAAATTTATCCGCATCTTGTTATCGTGATGGTGTTGTCGTAAATAATTCCTTGTTCATACCAATTCTCGCAAAGAAGGAACCTTACTGTTTATCCATCAACTTAGTTCAAAAACCGTTGAAATTGATTCGACATCCAATTTTAATTGACTTTAATACCGAATCTTTTTATGAACCTTGTGAATTTATAGCAACCGCTGCTATCGGAAATCGTTTATATATATTTGGTGGTAAAAATTTATACTCAGGAGAAATTACGAACGCATTTTACGAATTAAATATAAATACTTTTGAATTAAAAAAGGTACATCAAAGTCATCATTTGCCTAAACCAAGAATGATGCACACGTTAAATTCGATCGATAATCACCGATTGGCGTTATTCGGTGGTCGCATGTGCATGAACGGTAATTAAACCCTGCTTATATGATTATTACTTGCATACATAAAATGTATTTTGTGTTTATATTAATCTTACATATTTTTTTTTTTTTTTTTTTTCTAATANTTTTTTTTTTTTTTTAATCTAATAATAATTTAAGGTAAATATTACGATTCAAAAGATTTTGCAATTTATGATGTAAAGAAAAATTCATGGGAAGTTATAAATAACGAATCCGCATTCGTACCATCAAGAAGATCGAATCAATCTACAATGTTCTTTAATGATAAACTTTACATATATGGAGGACAACAAATAACCTCATCTTCTACATTGAATCGTATTCACGATGATCCTGATATATGGGAATATGATACATTGAAGCTTAATTGGAAAAGGTATTTGAATGGATTAACATTATCAGGATTATTATTACCAAAAAATTGTATTTCTACAAGTGGGGTAAATCCATCTAAAAGATGTGGTGCAGCGATATTTCCGATACGAAAAAACATAGGAATTTTAGGAGGTATTGAAATGATGCAAATTAATGAAGAAATTCTTACATGGGGTCATATGAAAATTTTATCACCCATGAAACAAACTTGGGTTCAAGTTAAAGTTAAAGAAATGCCTCGAATTGAATGTGTAGCATTTTATGTCGAATATAAATTTGGAACAAAAGATATTTTCGTAGTCGGTAAAGATCAAAAAGAAGGAAAAATAATTACTGGATGGATTAAAGACGAACAATAAAAGACGAACAATAAAAGTAGAACAATAAAGTCGAACGGTATAAAAATCGATCAATGAATGAATGAACATTTTAAATCGAACATCGAACATTTTTTTGTTTTCAAAATCGAACATATTGAACATTTTTTTTTAAAAATGAAATATATCGAACATTTTTTAAACCGAATATATCGAAATATATCGAACATTATTTTCTTTAAAACTAATAATATCAAACATTATTATACATTATTTTAAAACGAATATATCGAATTATCAACATTATTTTTTTTAAAAAAAAAAAAAAAAAAACGACAATTTTTATAAAGCATATAAGAGTATAAGACTTAATTAAGATTTTTATTTATATAAGAAATTTCTTTCCTTTCAAATTATGTAAAAATTATGTATGTATGTATTTTTGTAATTACAATTTGTTAAGAAAATGTATGTCATAAGGTTAAAATTAAGTTTAGATTGTAATTAATTTTAATCAACCAAAAATCCGCATCAAAAATATAAGTTTTTTTCTTCGATTTCAAAAAAAACTAATAAAAGTTACAATTTTAAAAAGGAATTTTGAAATACAATAATATTTTTATTTGTATGATAAACTTTTAACAAAAATTATATCACGAATTAAACAATGACGTTAATAAGTAACAAAATACTTATGCGGGGTAAAGAAGTACAATATGATTATGATTGAATTGATGCAGATTGATATAAAAAATGACTTAATAAAGATTGGACCTTTTTTCCATTTTTTCTTATTTAAAAAATATATTTTTATTTCATTTTTACACAAATTGGTGATAATTTTCCGGTTGTACTATGAAATGGTTGAAATGTTTCTATTTTCCAAAAATTCGGTTTACAAATATTAAAATATGTAAAAGACCAATCAAACTTAAGAATAACGAATTAGTAATTATTATCTGGCCAAGGGATTCGTTTTTAGAATAATATTCCCTAAATGAGAGAATAACAATAAGAAAACCTCATCTGGATAAATTAAAACCTGAATCTGGTTTATCAGTACACGGGAGCACCTAACTTAAATCCGAAGAAACATGGAAACATGCATGGAGTGTTGAAAGGCTTTTAATGCATCTAGATTTTTTTTTGCAAAAATTTTAAGTGTTCTACATCTTTCCAAATCTAGTTAGAAAAATTCTTCTTTCATAAAATTTAAGTATAAAAGGATCTTATCTTCGCTCCCATTTCTTTTTTCTTTGCGAACGTTGAAAAGATTTGACGTTTTCCGTTTATGCTGGGGAATTCTCCAAATTATGATAATTAATTAAGCTTTATAAAAATTCGTCAAATAAGAAATCTTTATAAAGAATTTCTTAAATATCGTAATAAAAAAATGCATTTTTTTAACGTTTCGGGGCCTACACTTTCGTATTTATCGTCACCAAATAGAGATTACGTCTCATTTCGAATTTAAGTTCTTTTTTTTTACAACGATAAAAGTCAATTACGTATGCACTTTAAAAATGATTAAAAATGATTAAAATCTTATTTATTACGTTATTAACTCTTTCAATTTTTTTTTTTTTTTCTTTTTTTTTTTTTTTTTTTTTTTTTTTTTTTTTTTAGATTTAAAATCAATCATTTCTCCCTTGTGTTAAATCAAGACAATCTTTAATGATGTCGTTTCTTGAAAAACAAGATTTTATTCAAATTCGATCGTTTTTATTTTTTTTTCTGATATACTGTATCTATCACGAAAAGTATTATCGATTTTTGGTTGTCTTTTCTTTTAAAAGTCAACTGAACATTAAACTGATTAAACTTTATACGTTACACAAAACTCTAAATATCTAATGGGTATTTATACTTTTCAATTCATTTGTTTTTTCTCTTTTAAACGATAACGCGAAAAAAAAGAATTTGCGCCCATTTCTAATTTTAGTAAGACAAACCATAAATTTAATGGTCCCCCGATCTGCGCTTTTTTATTCATGTAAATACGTGTATATACGTGTAAAATATATATATATTTGTGTTTCACAATAACTCGGGTATTTCATGGGGTAAACAATAGTTAGGTTAAGAAACATTGTCCACATGTCCACATGGTTCTTTTAATATTTTGATATTTTGGAACGTTCATAAGAAACCCATTATTGTGAAACTGACGATGCACCATATTTGATAATATATATATTTTAAGGAACCGGTATTGTGAAACTACGATGTTACCATATTTGATATATAATATCCGGTTATTCGGATGTAAAGGTCCCGAATCTATTAAAAATCAGTGATTTTTACTATATAAGTTGCCAAAAGTTACCAATAAGTGCCACATTTCCTTATTTACTGTAATACTGTTATTTTTTAAAAAAAAGGGGGAGTGAAAAAGGGGGTGCATTTAAAATATAACGGACACAATATGACCACTATAAATTCACTTTACAGATTACATAATTAAAATTTTTTTTTTATTATTTTCCTTTTTTTTTGTCCAGCAAATAATAATAACATATGGTTGAATTTTTTTTTTTTTTTTGTAAACCCCTATATTATGATTAATAATAATAATAAATGTATTTTAATGATTTTAATAATAATATAATAAATAAAATAAAAAAAAAATGTACATATAACTAAATAGTTAGTTACAATATTAAAATTGAAATTATTAAAACCAAGCTTCCGACAATTATACCAAAACTAGATTCTTTTAAATAATAAGTTGAAGATGAATTAGATACAGATTTACTAGTACTTTCAGCATCTGCTGCTGCGATTGACATTGAACCTGAAACGGTAGCTGTTGGTGTTGGACCTAAAGGTGTTGTAACAATTTGTTGTGGAGGTTGAGATAAATCTTTTGGCCAAGTATAATCTTGAGGAAGATTTATTCCACCATACATTCCTTTCTTACAACTTTTTTAATGAAAAAAAAGTAAAATAATATAAATAAGTAACATTATATATATATATAATAAATAATAATAATAATTAATTTTTATTACTTACTCGTCAGCTACATCAGAAAAGAAAACATATGTTCTATCTTCAGGTACGGCCATAGTAATATTATATGGTTCAGTATGTTGTCCAAGATTAAAACCTATTAAATTTAATTGAAATTTAATTAATATATTTTATAATCATAATCATAATTTTTTTTTATAAACATAATTTTTTTTATTACTTACCTCCTACTTTACTTTGACATGGATTTTCAAGAGTTGATTCTACTACAGAATGTAAACCTTTACCTGTCCACATCCACCATAATACATTGCCTTTACTAGCAGTGAAATTATTTCTACTAAATCCAGTTTCCATATAACCAACTTTAATAACATGATTTGTAAGTGAAATTGGTCCATCCGTTGGATTTGGGTTTCCCGAGGGCAAAATTGGATTCACTGAATAGGTTTGTGATTTTACAACAATAACTTGAATAATGAATATTCCCATTAGCATCAAAATTCTTAACTTTTTAGAAATCATTTTTGTAAATTTTTTTTTTTTTTATCCCGTGAAAATAAAATGTTATTATAAAGTTTACTTTGAAGAATGTAAAAAAAACTTGATAAATTTAAAACTTTGATAAATGTAAAAAATTCAAATTTTCAAAAGTAAAAAAGATTCAAGTTCAAAATATCATTTATTTATAACAAAAAAAAAAAATTCAAGAACTTTCGATAGAGAAAAAATATAATAAGGAAAATAAGAGATAAAAAAAGATAAAGAAATTTATGAAATGCATTGTAATTATAATATAGTAATAAAGTATTTGGCGGCCGAAAATACGAAACAAAATATAATCAAAATAATAATTACAAGTGTTTCATAAACACTTTGTTATACTCAATTAACCATCTTTCAAGTATATTTAACGTCTAGTGGATACCGGGCTGTGTAACTATGATCATGTTTCATATGAAAATCCGGCCGAAATTATTAGCCCAAAATGGCTTCAAAAAATTTGGGGGCAAAAAAAGGTATAAAATTAGTTAATAAATCATGTAAATCTGGTCAAGAATGCATATCCGAGACTCCATAACGTCATCCGAGACCGATGACCGATACTTGGCTATTCCAATTTAGTTGTGAAAAATAAAATGTATAATACAATGTAAAAGGCTTTTATGAAATGATTTCAAAAGAAAAATAAATATTTTAAAAAGTAATATACAAGTATATATCAAATATAAACTATAAGTGATGTTATTGTTCTGTCGATTAGGACTATGCGAGTTTGATTATTTGGAGGATCTACTATTTACCGCAATGACCGAACTTCAAAAAGATCTTTCATCCAATTAGTGTACACTATCTCTTAATTTAGAGTATAATTATATCATTTTTGGTATAATGATATTACACAATCACTTGCTATGGAAATTTTTGAGCCATAACTTTCAAATAATGATAAAATGGATCTTTGGTATCTTAGTATATCCATGAAATATCCCGGTTTTTTTTTTATAATTATATCATTTTTGGTATAAGTGGACATTTTACATACAACTACTTTCTATAAAAATTTGCAGGAAAAAAAAAATTATAGCCATAACTTTCAAAAAAATGATAAAATGATCCTAATATCCTAGTATATCCATGAAATATCCATTTTTTTTTAAAAAAAAAAAAATTCTTAATTTAGAGTATAATTATATCATTTTTGTATAAGTGGACATTTACATATATGAAAATTTGCAGGAAAAAAAAAAAAAATATGAGAAAAGAACAGCCATAACTTTCAAAGAATGATCTCGGTATCATAGTATATCCATGAAATATTTTTTTTTCTTCGTTTTTTTTAAAAAATATTAATTTAGAATATAATGATACCATTTTTGGGGTGTCGGCAAAAAGCCGGTTCAATCATGTGACTTCACATTTATTTTTTTATGAACTAAAATATGAAAGTCATAGAATAAGTGTATCTTGGCCTCTTGGCCTGCTCTAAAAGTTTGCTTAACTGTCAAGGAAAAACATATGGATGAATACGGGTTCCTTAATGTACAGTGAGGGTGTACGATATTAATGTACGAACCGACCGGAGTTAACGTTAACGCTATAACGTGCAAGTGCATAACTCCTAAACTCGGGCCAGTTCGTACATTAATATCGTACACCCCCATTGTACATTAAGTCCAGTGTTCTGACCTGGTCATTTGACCTTTTGAATGATTTATGAAATCATTTGTCATTATTCATAATCATTTGTCATTTAGTCATTTCAATCATTTGATTTTGATTGGCTAATATTTATCACATAAATAATCATGCGACTATAATTAAAAAATAGTGAATGTAGTGTAGGCAAAAATTATAATGCCGGCCAAAATTACATTCAAATGACCAAGGTCATTTGTCATTTGAGCATTTGAAGCATTGAAAGTGAAATGTCATTTGTCAGAATCATTTGGTCATTTGCCGAACACTGACATTAACAGAGTTTGGGGTTATGCACTTTCACGTGATAGCGTTAAACTCCGGCCAGTGTGTACGTTAATATCGTACATAAGTTAAGGATGCTCCAAAAATGGACGACAAAATGAAAAAAGTCAAATGTCAAAACCGGTATTCAAAACCCCATGTTGTGCATTAAGTAAACTTGCACAGCAGGTTAAAATACACGCACCATATGTAACTTGAAAGTTTTATATTTTGGCGAAAAAGTTTTATTTGTAAAAAATAAATAAATAATTTTAAAAGTCACGTGATCGGACCCGGGCTTTAGACGACCCATTTTTTGGTATAAATGGACATTTACATACAACTGAATGATATGAAATTTGTAAGAAAAAATAAAGTGAGAAAAGAACAGCCACGACTTTCAAAAAATGATAAATGATTCTGATATCCTAGTATATCCATGGAAATTTCTTTCTTCGGTTTTTTTTTAATTAACTATACTATTTTTGGTATAAATGGACATTTACATACAATGGAAAATTTGCAGGAACCATAACCTTCAAAAATGATCCTGATATTCTAGTATATCTATGAAATATTGTTTTTCTTTTTTTTTAAAAAAATATATCTAAATATACATATATATATATATATATATATATATATAATGATAAAAATAATTCTATTTTTATACATAGATTCTGGGTGGAAAATTCATCTCGTCTTCGAGAATCTATTATGTCATTCTGTCTATTATGCAGGATAAATTTAACCAAAAATCTTTCATTATTTAACGGTTTATATACTTAGGGTACGTTACGTTCCTTCTTTCATGATAATGATGATATGTATGATGAATTATCACTTATGATGATCTGGTGTACAGTCTTCCTTGAAATGGATAACAAAACAAAATTTTACTATTGTGGCGCGGAGTTCTTTTTGGTTTAGTTTTCTATTTTCCGCTTCTTTTTCGTTCTAGTGTTTCGTTATATATCATAGGTTTTTTATATTTATGATTTAATAATATCACGTGAGATTTATGGAGATTTAATTCCGGATTACACAATTACACAAGATATTCAATTTCAGTAGGAAAAAAAACCATAACGTTTATTTGTTCTTAATTACATTTAACCCTTAAGTAACTTATGTGCATAAATGATATAAACATAAATGATTTCCCTATAAAGAAATCAAAAAAAAAGTTTATCTTAACGTTTATCAAATAAACAAATCTTTCTTTGTATTTTTTATAATTTTTAAAAATTTTTTCATAGAACACAGAAAAAGTTACTTATGCTTAAAATTTTTTGATTTTTTTTGTTGATTTTTTTATAAATTTTTTTAGATTTTTTAACATAATAATAAAAAATAAATTTGTTTTTTTAATTAAAAAAAAAAAATAGAAAAAAAAATAGTAAAGATTGATTTGATTCATTTGATTCTATAATTTAATTATTGGCTATATATTAAATAAATAAAAAAAATCTTATATATAATTACAAATTATCTAAATTTAAAAGTAAAAGCTTAATAGAAATCGTCATGAAAGAAATTCATATTCAAATCCTCATCTTCATAAATTGGAGTAGGAGTCCAATGGAATTCTTGCATTAAAAAGTTGTTAATTTCAATATCATCAAATTGAGGATTTTGAATTTGAGGCAGAAAGATATCGCATATATCGTGCCTAATTGAAGGACAGATAGGTTCAAGATTGTAAGGATATTGAAGAAAAAATTCTGGTAATAGTTGAACAGATTCCTCCACGATAAAATTATTTGGCTGTTCTCTAATTGGTACTGATAGGTTTTGAATATCTGGTCGAATTGGTAAAATTGTACGCGGACCTTCCAATATTTGTGATCTTTCACGATAAACCTCTTTCACTCTCTTTGCAAAATCGCGATATTCGTTCTTTAATTCCTCCTTTTCAAATTTCCAAGCCTCTGATGCCCAACGCGATACTTCTGTCATTTTTGATGGTAATCCATTTATCATGAGCACTTTATTATATACCTTACGATATATCATAAATGCATTAGAAGTTTTGCTACGTCCAGATCTTCTCGGTAAGAAATGGTTTGGGTTCAACATCAACATACGAGGTGATGAGATAGATACTTTGGGCCGTTCACGTACGAGTGTTTGGAAAGATGCTTGTTGTGGCATTTTTTTTTGTTTATAGTTTTTTTTTTTCTTTTTTTTTTCTTTTTTTTATAAAAAAAATAATTATTAAATTGATGAAAAATTGATAAAAAGTTGAGGGCTCTTTTATATTAAATTTTTTATCTTTAAATCTTTAATCTCCGACGGAAATGTTTGTTAAAAAAGTGTTTAGAACAATTATGGTAAGATATGATGTCGGTCATATAAATATAAACAAGTAGCTCATATAAATATATAAACAATGAAGAAGAAACATATTCTAAAAATATTGTTAAAGTCTTTCACACCTCTTCTTTTCACTACCAATTATAGATTCATCAGCCACTTAAATTTTCCACGTGATATGAGTACTTTAAAATGAGGGAATTTTATATTGACCTTGTTATCCAAAGGTGGATAGAAAATTATTATATAATTTACTTATATATAAAAACTTTCACGAAAAAAAAAAAAAAAAAAAAAAAAACTTACACATAATTGTATGTAAATATGTAATGTGTAGATCTTAAATTCCGAAACATTTTGATCGTGACTTTTTTAACATAGCCAACGGTTATAACTTTCCGATTATTTATAAAGTTATATTATTTATAATATGTCGTAATCTTATAACCGGTTCTGGTTCAGTTACTGGTTCGGTCTTCGGTGATACTAAATGATAATGAAAGGATATAATAATTCATAACCGACTTTTAGTTTATACATGAAGAAAAATAAGAAATAAGAAGAGTTCAAATATAACTTTCAAATTCCTATTTAATCAATTTGATACAATTTAGGGGGTAAAAACATTATTTAAGTAGATCGCGCTATCGTTATATGACTGATTATAATAATAATAATAAGATTGTTTCTTGTAAATATTTCTGCACATTAAACACATGAAACTTAAAAAAAAAGTTTAAAGTAATATTATAAAGAAATAAAGAGTTTTTTTTTCCATGTTTTTAATTCTTACGTTTTTTCAATTTATTATTTAGGAAAAAATTTAAAAGAGGGCGTAGTAGCATATATAACAAAAATATAAAAATGATGATCCAATTTTGGAATGATATTGACCAACCAATAGGAATCTAATAGGAATATCCTAACTGTATGACCACGAAAAAAAAAAAAACTTATACATTTCATTGAATATATTTTTTTAGTTAATTTACAAAGTAGGTCCAAGAAATAATTTAATCTTTCTTGTACATCTTGTACATAAAATTTTTTTTTAGAATCCTTTTTTGGATTTTTATTGATGACTGTAAACATCTACAAAGGACGCTCAAATCACATGACTTATGAATAAAAAAACCTGTTTTTCTAATTATTTATAAATGAATTTTCTTTCAAATGTATTAAATATATTCTTGTGTAAAGTGACACATCGTTACATTATTATTTTTAGTATCACACGGCTGTTTCTTAAAAAAAGAATTCGAAAGAATTCGATAAGAATTTGTAATATAAAATTATTTATTATTATGTGTATAAATTTATTTATTATTATAAAAAAAAAAATTTTTTTTTTTTATATACATTATACAAAATGTATTATTTTTATTTATTACATATAATTTTTATGCATATACATTGAACATATATATTTTATAATATCACTTTGTTTTTTTTTTAAGAAAAAAAAATCATGATCTTGAAAAAATGTAATAACTTAATTTAACTTTAATTACTTTTAAATGATTTCCCCAATCTCTTGCCATTTATTGGCGTCTTTGTTTACGCGTAAATAAAATATAATAAATAATTTTATAGTTTCGTCTTGTAATATAGAAAAGACAATTTTTATCCATGTATAGATCATAGGACTTTGAAAGAAATATCAATGATTTGTAACTAAATAAAGAGAAAAATGAAAAAAAAAATAGATGTAATTTATTGATTCAGAAGGAGACTTAAAATCCGATTAAAAGAACCAATCCTAATTCAAAGAAAATTTTTCATGAATCTTTTTGGTTTTTTTTTAAAGAAAAAAGAATACAATTATTTTGAATGTTTTTTTTTTACTATTATGATTTCTTTTTATTAGATATTTTGGTGCAATTCATTGTAACTTAAAATGACATTTAATGTTATGATGTAAAAGAAAAGTGATATTAATAAGATTAAAAAGAAACAACGCGCCTTCCGCGTTCGTGCTTCTAGAAAAGCCCCATGCATAATCAGTTTGCACCAATCACTGATGGTGATCACCTTACCAGCCACATATTCTCTGTGGAAGTGGCGAGGGAAAGCGGCTTGAATCGGATCAAATTTGGATTTAAGTATCACACTAGCAATATATCATCGAATGAAATTCAACCTCGTATCATATTGTCTTTCTTTTGTTTCTTCTTTTATAGATTCACGGCTATTCGGATCATTGATCCGAATGTTGCAAAATCGTTGATCAGTTAAGTGGTTTAAGTAATATCATTTACGTCAGCTGGGTACCATTAAAATTAATCCAATCGAGTTATTATAAGCCGCAGTAGACAGATTGTTGTCACACAAGAGTTATTATAAACCGCAGTAGAATAGGAAGCTAACGTAAATGTGAAAACCTAACAATGGACTTTTTTTTTTTAGAACTCGAATTCAAAAATAAAATGCATAGTACTGGTCAAAACTACTGTATAACATATCACAGTCGGTAAAGTGCCGAAAGCTTTATTTCTTATACCGCAGTAGAATAGGAAGCTAACGTAAATGTGAAAACTTAACAATGAGCTTTTTTTTTTTTATAGAACAATTCGAATTCAAAAATAAAATGCACAGTGCTGGTCAAAACTACTGTATAACATATCACAGTCGGTAAAGTGCCGAAAGCTTTATTTCTTGTGCCGCAGTATAATAGAAAGCTAAACCTAACAATGAACATTTTTTTCTAGAACAATTCGAATTCAAAAATAAAATGCATAGTACTGGTCGAAATTATAGTATAACATGTCACAGTCGGTAAAGAGCCGAAAGTATGCCGCCGTAGAATAGGAAGTTAACGTAAATGTGTGGACTTTTTTTTTTTGGAACAATTCGATTCAAAAATAAAATGTATAGTACTGGTCGAAATTACATATATAGTTTTGATTAGAACTACTTGGCACGGAGTTCAAAGCTACTTGTATAACATACAACAGTCGGTAAAAAGCCGAAAGCTTTATTTCTCATTTTTTTTTCTTTTTTTACAAAAAAATCCATTAAAAAATAGTTGAATTGAGTATTTAAATCTTTGATTTACAGAAAATTTAGTTTATCTAATTCGGATATTCAGATCTGAATACAAATGCGAAACAAAGGGGGAATTCGTTTCATCTCGTCATCTCGTTTCACCTGAGTTTATTATTGTTCAAATATCCGAAATAAATTCCGGATATAAGTCCGAAAGAACTTGGTCTAGGCTCGCAAATATAAAATTTGACAACAATTCAAATTATTTAAAAATTTTTTTATTTACAATGATTTAAACTGCGTATAGCTAAATTCAACCAATCATAATGCAAGATTGGCAAAATTGAGCAATATCAAACTCAGTAAGATAATTACATACCAGTGCCGCTCATTATAATGATATCTACATATTATTATAATAAGGGATGGCCAGAAATGACGTAATTTAAATTTAAACCCCTCTCTATGTCATCAAAAAATGCAAAATTAAATCATAATTCTGGGCAGAATTATATTAACTACAAATGACTAAAAATGGAAAATGTAACATCATTATGGTCTGGAAATGACGTAATTTCTGGCCATCCCCTAACGATATCGTTATAAAGCATAATAAATCTCATTATAGAAAAATTTACTCCATTGTTTATATTGTTCAGTTATTAGGAATATGTGGGATTTTAATGACCGATATTTTATGACATCAATGATCGATCAGGTTTTAATTCCTATTGTAAACCGCAGTATTTCTAATGACCGTAACTATAACTCAGTTATTGGATGGGATTTAACTTGTATCCTTAAAAAGATAATAAATTGCTTGATTTAGAAAAGAATTGGTTGCTAGTCCGAATATGAATAATAGAAACAATAGACTAATTGAAATCACGTTTTTTACTTAATAATTTAAAGTAAAACAAAGTAAATATATTCGGAGGCGGCGCAGTATATTTAAATTGATTTTTACAGAGGAAATTTTTAAAAAAAGTCGCAAAAAATAGGAAATTTACGTGGGGTTCGCCATTTTTTGAAGTTATTAAAGCAAAAATAAAATCATTTTTACAATTTTTTTTTTTTGAAGAATATATTAGTATATGTCCAAAAGTATATATATATAAATTCCAAGACTTCTAGCTAACATTTTTATGAGACAAAAAAAAAGTGACGTAAATTTATTAAGAAATATTGCCAAAATTTAACAAAATTTTAGCTAATTGGCGATATTTAGAGATTTCGATTAAAATTTTAAACTTTATAACATTGAAATTAAATACTTGAGAGTTGAGAGTAATAAAGACCTAATCCCATAGTATTTTTGATTAAAATTTCAAATGATTTTGTAGACTTATATATTGGGGAATAGAGATTTCATATGTTTTATAATTTATTTCTATTTCTAGGTGGATTTATTAGATTTTGAATTTTATAAAAATTATATTAAATATTTGGTTAAAAAAGATCTAATTTTATAATATTTTCTATAAATTTTCAAGTGAATTAGACGAAAATTGATTAGTATTCTCAACAAAAATTTCAAGCGATTCATCTATAAAGGAAAAAAAGACTTTGTTCAACAACCAATTTCTATTGATCATATGCGGATCGCCATTTTATTATTTATTCATCACGAAGTAGATCGGTCCATTAGATTAGTTCAGAAATATGTGGAATTCATTTTTGTGGATCTACTCCTAAAATATAAAGGGTCAAAATTATGCGGACATTCTTCAAAGTGAAAAATTTATATATATATTAATTAAAATTTAAGTTAGAATACATTCATTACATCTTTAGTTATTGAATAGAATAAAAAATTTATTATTAAATTTCATTTCATTTGCCACATAACTGCTTCAATTGTAATTAATCTATATCATAGTATTCTGGAGGAATATTTTTTACTAAATTATGATATTGTGCTTTGCGTTGATAAATATCACAATTATTAACCAATGAAAAAGATTGACCTATTGTTAGCTTAATTATAGTTTAATTATAGCTTATTTTTGATTTTTATAAATAATCATTATATTTAATATACGGAGCACGATAATTATTTTTAATATACTTTTCAAACACTTTTATCAAGAAATTCAATAAGACATGTGAACATAATGTAATTAAATACTTGTTATTCCATTGATACCAAAGAATAACTGAAATATTTACCGATGCTCCGAAGGGAGAGCTCAGTATATGAAGTATTTATTAGGTACTCATGGAATAACAGTCTTATCTCATTGTGTATGACATATACACCGATGGATTTTATACTTTTTTATACTTTTTTTATACCGGTGGAGTATTTACAAAAAAAATCCATCAGTGTATACATAATACCGATGTGATAATTTAACATTAGGCCGGGCAAAAAAAAAAATTTAGATTCTCGTGACCCGGCCGGGTCAGTTTTTCGAAAAATGTAAATTTTTTTTTATAGTAAAAAATTTTTATCACGTGATTTTAAGTTTTTGGCTAATGTGCGTAAAAAATTTTTACATATATAAAAAAAAATGCCGGCAGGCCGGGTCATTTTTAAAATTTTATGTCACGAGAATCTAAAAATTTTTTTTGCCTGGCCTAATACAGTATATGAAATTAGGAGCATAATTTTACATGAGTTTGCAAAGTTTGCGAAATTCAATTTTAAATCATATATTAAAGAATATTCCAATATTCAGTGATTGAATTTTCATGATTTTATGTTCATTGGATTCGTCTCATTAAGACGCTTGTAGGATTAATATCGTATATCACGACCATAGTACTTCCCTATGTATAGTACCCCTCAAAAAAGAAGTCACATTCTTCGTTGATTTTATTATTTAAATAATCCAACAAATATTTTAGATGTGACGTGTAACAATACCCTAATTATTTTATAAGTTTTAAACACCCTCTATTAATAGTAAAAATTCACGTAATAAGGGTACAGGGCCAAACCCCCAAAATTTGCAAGATATCGGGTACTGTGGCCCACGATATTACGGTATTTGACACACAATTATGCTTTAAATATTTAGAATTATCTATAATATTTTATGACCCAGTGATTGGATTTTCATGAATTTTAGCTTATTGAGTTCGTCTCATTGAGACGATTCGAATGGTAGTAAATTCATGTTTGTTAGAATGATATTGATCAAGTTACGCCATTTTTAAGTTTTATGACAAAAATTAAAATAAATTTATGCGGTAATTTCTAGAACAAGAAAATTTTGTTTATTATGATTATATTACAAATTATTTATATCAAGCATGTAAAATGATCTGCATAATTTTGGCAAAACACATAATTTTGATCGTCCTCTGTACTTATCATGCGTTTTGTCACAGGGTATTTGGAACTATTCCATATTTCCATGTGGATTTAAGTGAAAAAATTTCTTGATGTCACAATGGAAAGACAAACCCCTATAAAAACGAAATGTGTTAAATTTGTTGTTCATGTGTAATAAATGTCAAAAAAGCACCATTTTGTCCGATTTATATCTTATTACAAAAAAACGAAAATTAAACAAATGGTGCTTTTTTACATTTATTACACATGAACAACGAGTATACATATAAACTGTACTGTACGGTCAGCTAAACTGTACTGTACGAAGTGAGAATTCACCAATCAGATTTTATTGTACGATAAATAAAAAAAATTTGAAAAGTATACAATGAGTTAAAATATTTTCGTACAGTACAGTTTAGCTGACCGTACAGTACAGTTTATCTATTTACCTGATTATAAGCATGTCCATATTTTTCCTTCATCTATCGATGCAGTCACTGAAAGATTCGGTATTGTTTAATTTTATAATTTATTTAAGCGTCATACGAAGGTATTAATGGAAATATGACCGTTTTGGCATAATTCATCATTTAAGGGGTTACGGTACGTTTCGCCTAAGTCCATTTCGCCAGAGGACTTTTCGCCGAAGCCATCTATCTCATCGAAAATATGTTTCGCTGAAGGGACATGGAATTTACGCTGAATAGACATTTGCCTAATCCTTCTCTCCGAATCATCCATTTCACCGAAATCTACTTCACTGAATAGGAAATTCCGCCGAAAATGTCAGCGATTGATTAAAAATTTAATTTAATAAAGTTCACTCTCACTATAGTGAATCCCATGGGCTGGAGATTAAAATTCGGTATAGTGAAAAATTCACTATACTGAGGGTCATTTTATTATATAAAAAAAATCTGTACCTGAATTTTTCTTCATTATAGCAAGTTATTCACTATATAAAAATTCGCTATAGAGAGGGTGAACTGTACCCAATTTTTTATTAATATTAAATTATAAATCTTTTTAGTAACAAAATTTTCGTAAATGTCAATATGGATATTTTGGCATATCAGATATGATTTGAAATTTTCGGCGAAATCCCTTCGATGAAAATGTCTTCGGCGAAATGCGTTTCGGTGAAATAGACTTCGGCAAAAAGCCGAAGGATGTAATATGATAGGTGAATTCATAACTCAGATCATATGACACGCATGGTAAGTTTACCATTGGTAATTTACAATTTACCGTAAGTTACTGATAAATTCCATAAATTACGGTAATTTATTTTTATTCATTGTATCATTGTAACATCGTAGCGGTTGGTAGCATAAAAACAAACATAAAATTAACAGTAAATATAACAAAATAACAGTAATACTACAATTCAAAATTTTATAACCGTCAATATCCAACGATATGATACCTATGATACTCAGATTCCATAATCCTTTTCATTACAACTTATATAGTAGCAGCTGGTAGCATAACATATAAACAGTTAACAATAAACAATTCCTGTGCACACACAATTATATGAAATACAAAACTTCAAAATTTATGACCGTCATTATTAAACGATATGATGTTCTAAGTCTTTTGGTAACATGACACTACAAATTAAATATTGTAGTAGCATAACATATAAACAGTTAATAGTAAACATTTTTGATAAAAGTAATGCTATATAATTTCTGAGCATACAATTATATTTAAATGTCCGAAACAAAATTTATAACCGTCATTATTAATGTCCATTTCTGAGCATACAATTATATTTAAATGACCGAAATAAAATTTATAACCGTCATTATTGATGTCCATTAAAATTAATTACTTTTTAAATGATGAACAATTATTATTCGTTTTCTTAATTATTGTTTGCACTGAATAATTATTCATGTATTATTATTAATTCAAGTTCTCTTTTATTAACCAGTCTGCGTTTATTTACGTCTAACATTTCTAAATTTTTAGAAAGTTTCTCGTATTTATTTATGTTTACTAATTATTGATTTATTTCGTAATAAACCTTGAAGTTCAATGTAAGGTGATACCACGTGATGGATTAAAAAACAACAAAACTGCAATTATTATTGGATAATGAAAATTTCAATCAATTGAATTATTGTATTAAATACACAATGCAACAATTGAAAATTTAAAGATTAGTGCAACATATGCAGGGTTAACGGAATTTACGATATGACGATGTTCCAATACAATGTATTTAATATCATTTTTATTTACTTATTTTTCATTTTGTTTATGTTTTACAGTAGAAAATCTATGTCGAAATGTACCATGTTTCATCCGATGTCAAATTTCAAATTTTCCGATAAACGTGAACATTTTCACTTAAATCTCATCACTAAAGTAAGATTTTTTAACGTGACTTGAAGCTAAACCACTTCAGACGGGAATATGCATGTATTAAAAAATCAGTTAAGTTTTGACCAATAAACAGTTGAAAATTTCAAAATCAGTTCAATGATTGGATGAGGTCATTTGAATTAAAAAATAATCCTAATTGCTTATTTTAAAGTTATTCCGTAGAGTTGTACTTTATAATTTAAGTTACACGGGAACACATAGCATGCGCATGAGAGATACAAAAAAAACAATATAATTGTTGATTGGATATCAATTTTTTTGTAAAAGAAAGTTTGATTTATTTTTTCCTATTATAAGAATATTTGTTCTTTATAAATAGGCCCTTGTGGTTAGTATCAAATAAAATAGACCGTATTTTTGTTTCATATTTTTTTCGTTCTCACCCTGTCTTTCCCTTAACATATATCTCCGTCATCCATCGATTACCTTTTAGATTTCCATGATTAAACAAAATACTTTTAATATTTTTCAACTTTTCATAGGATATCTTTACATAAATTAAAATCATTCACAAAAAAAAACCATCATTATTAATGAAGTCACTCTCAGTTTTATATTCAAAGAAATTATTTCCTTCAAGGGCTCTAATTTATTTAATATTAATATTTACATTATTAAATTGCAATAGTGCTTATCCTACTAATTTAGAGTCCAGAGATGAAAAGCTTAGTGAAGGAAATGCTGCATTTGGCAAATTCAAAAAAGATCACAGTGTCTTCGAAATTTATTCTATGTATATTATAATTTTAATCATTTTACAAATTGGAAGTTTATCAACGCTTTATGTTATACTTCGCACCTTCATAAGGTGGAAACGAGTCGATTTTTCGTTAAACATGACGCATAAATTGCCATTTTATATGGCATTATCGGGTAAATAAATATATATATATATATATATATATATATTTTTTTTTTTTTTTTTTTTTTCTGAGTAAAAACGAGAAGCTTTTCTAAATTCATATTTTCGTTTCTATTTAAAGATTTAATCATATATGTTGCCTTGACGGTAAATTTGGTAAGTATATTATTTTTTTTCAAAAAAAAAAAAAAAATCATTCGATTAATGAATTTAATTATTAACTTATTTTCTCTTCCTTCCTTCCTTTCTTTCTTTTTATTTTTACAATTATAAAGTATTATCCATTAGGTAAATATCTTTATCAAATTTTTATTTATATATCTTTTTTGTAATAATCTTTTGAATTAAAAAAATTTTATTTTATTATATTACAGCAAACATGAAACCCTGGCCAGACCACTCGTGTAAAATAGTTTCGCTTGTATTCTTTTATAGTTCTCTTAGCAATATGATTCTAGTTGGGTGTTTAGCAGTTCTTAGCTATTTCAGAGTATGCAAGACAATGTATTATGAATTAGGAATAATGGATTACAAGTTATTTTTATTACCCATCGTTTTTCCTGCTTTAATAAGTGTACCGGTATGTTCATTAAATATTTTCTCAAGTTTTTTAAAAATATATATATATAAAAATACTAATAAATTTTACGTATATTTAAAGGCATGGTCACATTTTGGAAGCGACCAATATTGGTGTTATTCGAGTAGAACTTCATCATTCATTCCTTTAACTTTACTTTATGTTGATATTGCTACTTTAACAATATCAATATTTTGTTATATTGCTATATCATATGCAATTAATGTAGTAAGATCAAGGAACGACAATAATAATCATGCTAATAACGAAAATAATTTGTTTTTACCAGCATATAAAAAAATTGTAAGTTTCTTTATTTTATTTTATTTCATCATTTTTTTTTTTTTATTTTATTTTATTAATTTTAATATTTTTTTTTTTTTTTAGGTTGGATATTTATTCATTTACATTTTACAATGGACACCTGTCATGGTATATGTTCTCATTGATACTCAACAACAAACGTACGTTTATTCTTTAATTTTGTTTCTTTTTTTTCTTCATACTACGACATATTTCGAACATACTTACTAAACTCTTTATTCTATTAATTAGTTCAATGTGGGTATATGTAGTATGTTTCAGTTCTCTATCAATAGGTGGAGTACTTAATGCTGCTAGATATATTTCTAATGAGGGTTGGTGGTTAAAAAAAGAAAATCCGGAAATTGCTTCGAGTACATTTAGAACAGATCAGATGGCTTCGAATACTGTTACAACAAAAAGTGGTCAAACAGAAACAGTATCATCTCAATGGAATTTACCGGAAGATGAAACCAACATATCGTCATCATTGGTTGAAAAAAGTAACAAATCATCTATGGAAACTGGCACAGCGAATTAATTAAAAATTCTTAAGAGGAAAAAAAAAAAAAAAAAAAAAAAATGAAAANAAAAAAAAAAAAATAATATAATCCTTTTTTTCCAAATAATTAATTTACGTAATTTATTATGCATTTTGATCATTTCATAATATATATTTTTTTTTTTTAATAAGACCTACATTTTTTACACGTTTTAATCATATTTACAAATAAATATTATTAAATAATTAGCCACAAAAACTTAAAATCCATGTAAATATTTTTATAGTAATAAAAAGTCAAAATTAAATAAATTAAATAGAGAAAATAGAAAAGCAGTGTTACAATTTTGTGAAACAAATTTTTACCTTTTCTTTAATAAAGTTTTTAAATACGACAAATCATTTTGCCGAAATACCGAGAATTTGATTTTCAATTCGATTGATTGGTACCATCCTCATTATTAAAAATGGTTGGTTTTGATTTGTTGTCATCTCACATTAATTTGCGTTGCTTGATGTCTTTTCAGGGTTTCGTTATTAGGTAATTAAAAAAAAACTATAAAGTGATACGGTTTTGTGCGAAAATTTCATTGAAACTTGGCGTTAAACTAATGACCAATTGGGACATACCCGACCTCTATTATATTCATGCATCGTTTGCTGGCCAATCATTTATTATCGTTTAAATTTCCATAGACAATATTGGACAATATATAGTAATATTTGTAAAATAAGATGAGATTTGATTTTTGATTTTTTGATTTTTGATTATATAATATTAAAAGCAATATAGCAGTTACATGAAACAATCTAATAAATTTAATTCCATCAAGTTTTAAACAAGCTTATAATAGAAAATTGTAATAAAATAACACACCGCAGTTTTATGTGCATACTGATTATCGAAAAAAAAATAAACGCGTCACGAACCCAACCATTTCTGTTCTTCACAAATCAAATTTGTTTTTCTCATCAATGGATCTTTTAGTATATTCAGCCTCTTCGACTTCAACATTTGAAGGCCCATTAAAATATCCATATACCGTAACCGAAGATCTCATTCCAATCCAAGCCAAAGTAAGAAATACAACTGTAACGAACGCGATGATACATAAAATAATTGCAACAGGTAAAAATACCGACATTCCAAGAAATAAAAAAAATCCTTCCGCAATAGTGATTCCAACACCTGCTAATGCAATAATTCCAGCAAAGCACAAAACTGCCCATCCAATGAAAATAGCGGTTGGAACTGAACAGAAAGTTAAAAAAGTATAAACGAACCAACGAAGAGGAGCAAAATTATTCCAGAAATATCCAAATAACTTGGTAAAAGGTCGAATGTATTCCATTATGGTGGAAACAAAGCTATAGCCATATTTTTGAGCAGTAGTTTTATAAAGAGTAGCTTTCTCTCGAACGCTATCTTTATAAGCAGGTTTTCCTTGGATAGTATAATCAGTATAAAAAGACGATTTTCCTCGAGCAACGGATGATGATTTCTCTTGGGTAACACTCTTATAAGGAGATTTCTCTCGAGCCAAACCTTCATAAAGAGGCAATCTTTCTTGAATAGTATCTTGAGAAAGAGGTGATTTCTCTTGAACTCTTTATAGGCACAAAATTTTATTTATAAGATATTTTAAAAAAATATATATATATAGTAATAATTATTTACCTTGTGGATTTTTCTTTAAACCCGACAAGAGAATGGGATGATTCTGCTTCTCGTTCAAGGTCACCTTCCATTTTGTTAAAAAATATTTTTTTTTTTTCGCGTTTTGTTAAAAGGGATTTTTATTAAGTTGCAGACTTTGAACAAAATAAAATTCTTGAAAGAGGAATTAGAGGAAATATTTACGAAAAATCTTTTAATCACTCTTAATTATAAATCACTCAGAGTTAATCACATCATATTAGAGAAATAAAATAAACTTTAAAATTACATCATTGTACGAAACTACTATTAGTCATTACAATTATTACGTATTATTAGTAAGGCTATCAAAATAACCTTTTAATCAATTTAAAAAAAAATGTATACTTTTGTTTGTAAATTCATATTAGGTGTATTATTAAGTTAATAATAAAAATACAGAAAAAACTAACGAATAATTTAAATTTTTTTTATATACCCCACAATACGTGAGATAGTCCGAGAATAAAATTTTTTTAAATGTCCATCCATAAATTAATTTCTTGATCACTATGATGAAAGAGATTCATTTGATGGTGATTGTAATTGAATATTATTTATTTTATCTTGTGATCGGTTTTGTAAGGTTTGTGATAAAGATGATGGTGATTGGGTATCTATTTTATCTTGGGACTCATTTTGTGGGGATATTTTATCTTGAGACCGATTTTGTGAGAGAGACGAAGACTGAATCTTATATATTTTATCTTGGGACCTATTTTGTGATTTAATAATGTCTATTTTATCCTGAGATCGATTTTGCAAATTTTGTGGAAGAGATGGTGATGATTGAGACTGAAACTTATATATTTTATTTTGGGACCTATTTTGTGAAATCTTGTCTATTTTATCCTGAGATCGATTTGAAGAATTTTGTGAATTTTGTGAAAGAGATGATGACTGAGATTGAAACTTATCTATTTTATCTTGAGACCCATTTTGTGAGAGAAATGATGATAGTTGTGATTTAATATTGACTATTTTATCCTGAGAACGTTTTGAAAGAGATGATGATGATGATTGGGATCGAATCTTATTTATTTTATCCTTAGATCGATTTCGTGAGAGGGAAAATGGTGATTTGGATGATGAGCTTTGTGAAGGAGAAGATAATGATGATTGAGATCGAATCTTATTTATTTTATCTTGGGATCGATTATATGAATTTTGTGAATAAGATGATGATGGTTGAGGTTGAATTATATCTTTTTTTAAAAAAAAAGAATTTGATTTGATTAATAATTAATTAAGGATAATTTTAATTTTCATTTTTCTTACCTAATGATAATTGGGAACAATTTTGTAATTGAATTTGAATTTGATCCAATGAATCCTGTGATTGGTTTGTTATAGTGACTTGAGGTGTATATTCTGACAAAATTGATGATCTATTAGAAATATCATCACCTCCGGATAATTCCCGCCATTGACTTACTGTTGGCGGACCACCATAATTTTTAATTGAATGTAAATTTGATTGATTACGTGATGATGGATCTCTTCCTGTTCCAAATTCCGAATAAGTATTCCAAAAACCTTCATTTGATATATAACGATAAGTATTGATTATTCCACCGGCAGGTAAAGAAATAAAGCATATTACAAATATCCACATATTAGCTTCTTTATTAACATCAAATATTAAAAACACCATAACCGGAGTCTAAATAATATTAAAGTTTTGGAATATTAGTGACGAATTTGACATCGGATTTGACGAATTTTGACGAATTTTGACGGAATCGTTCAAAATAATCAAAATAATCAAAATAATCATAATCTGCATATCGACATCATGTAGTCATCATTGTCGACATCCGAACATCACACTAAGCATTACAATATATTGCATACTTACCCATTGTAAAATAAACATAAAAAGATAACTGATGATTTTTTTGTTTGATGCACGAAAATTTTCTTGATCATTTCTGAATCGGGATACATTAATAGCATGTGCGATTCCAATATAACAAAATAATGATGTCATCAATATTGATATATTCATATAAAGTAAAACTAAAGGAATAAATGATGACGCTCTATTTTGAAAACACCAATATCCATCAGGTCCGAAATATTCCCAAGCCTTTTATTAAGATCGAAAATGATTAGTTTTTATTTTTTTAAAAAAAAGGAAAACAGAATAAAAATAACGTACTGGAATACATAAAATGGTTGGAACAATTAGAGGAAATATAAATAATTTATAATCCAATATTCCGGTATTTATGTTCATTGCTTTACATACTATAAAAAATGAAAATCAAAATATTAATAGATCGTAATACGATGATGATACTTATTATAATTGATTAATTTGATTTATACTTATTAAATTGATTTGATTTACCTCGGAGATAAGTGATTAAAGCGAGTGAACCAACTAAAATCATGTTGAAAATTGCGAAAAAGTAAAACATCAATCCCATAATTTTACATGATTGTTCAGGCCATTGTTTATCATTTATTGCAGGATAATACTATAATATTTATAATATTTTTTTTATAAATATATTTTTTTTTTTAAAAAAAAAAAAGGTAAATCAATAAAATCATTTCAATATTTATATTCTAATATATACAAACATCTTTACCAGATTAATAATTAAAGCCGTATAAACGAAAAATTCTATAAAAATCAAAAATTTTTTTTTATAAAGTTTTATTAATAATAATTTTGAATTTTGAAATCTAATATAATTACCAGAAAATGCCATGTAAAAAGGTAACTTATGAGACATATATAGACTATAATTTTGTTTGAACCATCGAATAAATGTACGAATGATCACATATAATGTACATAAACTTCCAATTTGAAGTATTATAAGATCAAGTCCATACATAATATGAATTTCAATTTCACTATGTTCATTATGTAATTTTTCTAGGCCAATTGGAGAAGCATATGAATTATTAGAAAGGAATGAAAAAAGTAACAAAAATAAATAATTGTTAATTTTTAAATTAAACATCATCCTTGTCGTGAATTCATCCAATTAATTGAAAAATGTTAATCATGAAAAACAAGGGAAATAATAATGAGAAGCGAAATAATAATAATAATTAAAAAAAAAATAATAAAAAAAAAAAGGAAAAGAATTTAGAAGGAAAGATTAATCATTCACAAAATATGGAGGCATTATGTAACCAAACAAAAATCGTTAAAACAATAACTCCATGGGCGCATACAGAAAATCCATACCAAATTTGTGATTATAATTTGAAATTTTCCATTCTTGAAGAAACAGGTTTCTTAATTAAAGTTAAATTCGAGTCGCTGAACCCCTTGTATTACGTAATACTTTACAATAAGAAAAGATTTTTTGACATCAGATTATGGATTTCCAATCTATTTTTATTTTTTACACTTACCTTTTATAAAATAAGGTTATGGTTTAAATCATTAAAAATTCGGAATAATGTAAGTTATAATAATTATAAAAGGTTTTTTTCTTGAGATTTATGAGAATTAAGAAACCGTTCTCGGCCCATCTGTTTGGTGTGTTGATGATAAATATTTGGCTCCAGAGATCTTGTTTATGTATTGAACCAGGATTATAAAGTTTAAAATATTTACAATATAGTTAACATCTTAAACGCGTCAATACTATTTATAGTATTAATTTATTAAATTTTTCTAGAAAAGAAAACAAATAAAGTTCAAATAAATAAATAAATGGATATATATGTCATCATTAAAAGGATCTATAACTATCATTTATTATTTATTTTCTGCGAAAGAAATGTAATGAATAGTTGATGGAAAATTATTACCAGATTTAGTAAAACAATAAAAAGCAGAAATTACTAATTCTATATTTTTATCCAATCAAATCACGTATCCTACATTAATGGGGTTTTTGAAAAGCACATTGGACATTCAATTTAAAATTACTTCCAATAAATAATTAGTAAATTTCCAAAGAGCATAATTATACATACATATTTATATGCAATTTATATTTTGAAGTATAAAAGTTTGGAATTGAAATTTAAAAGAGATCGAATCAAGCAATGAATGAAGTTTTCAATGGCTTTTCGTTGAACTTAACTTTAGTAAAGTTAACTTTAGTACGACCTTTAAAAACATGAAACATTGAGATAAATATAAACAAAATTTACACCCTGTAAATTACATAATATCATAATTAAAAATTTCGATATACAGTAATTACAGTTATCCAGTAATTACAGCACAGGAGTACGGCAATAATTAGTACGGCAATAATTACAGTACACAGCAGTAATTACAGTAATTATAGTACCATATATACAAACTTTGGATATTATTGCCAAATGAAACTAAACCAATAAAATGATAGACTGTACATTTCTATATTTTTATCGGTTTATTTTATAAACCACAATATATTAAATGATATTATAAATAGTAGTAAAAATTGGAAAATTTTGATGGAATTTTTATGGATTCCATAAAAATTCCACGGAATATAACCATGGTTATCACCATTTAAAAATAAAGTTACACAATATAAATAAGCAATTTTTCAAAATTTCGGATAACTGACAAGCCATCATAGTTTAATCAATGAAAATGTAGTTTCGTAGTTTTTATATCCTATAGCAGTACAGTGACACTTCTCTAAGTGCACCCCACTGCACATCCCTTGAGACCATAGTAGAAAGTGCACTTAGAGAGGATGTGCATTTATAGAGAGTAAAATATTAAGAGCTCTTACAAGTTGAAACCAGGTCCACCGTACACTTAAAGAGAATTTATATGGTGCATGCACTTATAGTGAGTGCACATATATATAGAGGTGTCACTGTATACTGTATAGCTTTACCGCCTTAACGCGAATTTTGTTTGAGCCCACTACGTGACACACGTAAATCAGCCATATTTGTTACCGATTTTCCCCGAAAAAAAGACTATACTTTTCTCCGATCTCTGCCGATCATTGTTAGGCAATCATGGAATATCGGAATATCAGATATACCAGAATTTGAAACGTATAATAATATATATTTGTCTCTTATTATTTGTTCTCCAAATTAATAAAAATACATACATAATAATTAATAAATTTTGATATACTCTAACCATATATATCTAACTTTTTTTTTTTTTTTTTAAAAAAAAAAAAAGTCTAATTATGGTCTATTTTTAACTTTTTCTTAAAATATTTTAAATATTTTTTTATCATAAGGAGACTTCTCTAAATCCTTTTGCACATCACCAAGTTCTTTCTTCTACAAATTCTTTCATCTTTTCTACGAATAGAAATTCTAGCTATAGGGCTATTGTTAGTTATCGTGTAATTGTTATTACTAGTTTCTCTTGTATCACAATAATAAGACCAAAATACTAATTTTTTTTTTTAAATCATATACTAGATATGTACTGTATCAGGTCACAATTGAACACCTGATTATTAACTCGGTGAATCTGATTTTGATCTAGCAGAAGTATTGTGGTACATTTAAGAACAAATTAAATAATCTCACTTTAAAAAAGTAAAGAATGAGTTTCACGTCAATGGAAAATACGTGTTTAATTCCTGAATTTTTTGTTGTTGATTTATCAATGATCGTGATACAATAAGTAATATTGTGTTATAAAGGTTGTCCAACTACCCCTGCCTAATCGTGAAAAAAATAGATAAGGTGTGAAATACTTGAGTATGACGCAAAAATACACTTCAAGGTCGCTCCAGAAAAAATATGAAACTCGATTATGTCATCAAGTATTAACCAAATTTATACTCCCGTTAAGTTTAAAATTAAATTTAATTTAATATGCTCTAAATTTTAGGATAGAAATCACCAAGACTTTTTTTTTTTTTTAAAAAAAAAAAAAAGATGGTTCAAAGAATATCGTATGACTTAAAAAAAAATGACTCCAAATCTGGACTCTACTTCTAATTTTCGAATTCTCGGATAAGATCGACATATATTGTTTCAATGAAAGTTCATGTGAAGTCACGTGAGGATTGACATTACGGGGATGTTCGCCTAACCATTAATAACTAATAAAACGATTGATCATTTTTTTTTTTAGTTTTAAACAAATTTAAGTAACAAAAATTTTCGGATGTTACAGTAAATAATTTATGGCTCATAAGGTAGGAAAATTAGTGACCAAAAAATATGTAGCACAACTTTTTTTAAGGAAGCCAATTAACCAATTTTTGAAATTTTTTGTTCCGTGAGAATTTTTTATGATAATAATGTAATTTTATTTTTTTTTTTTATACGACCGGCAATTAAAATTGTGTATTCTTTTGAAACTCATCATATGATACGTTCGTAACAATTAACTCTATTTCAAGTAAATGATGTTATTTACATTTCACAACATATAAATGTATATAACTAAGATAAAATATTTAAAAAATTAAAGGAATAATTTGTTTGCAACAAAAAACGCCATCAACAATAAATATTTACTCCAAGTGAGACAAATAGTTTCAAAAAAGGGTTCATGAAGAAGATGCAATATAACATAATTTATTGTTTTTAACATTTTTTTTTCTTTACAACGCGTATTTATGTAATGCAGCTTATTAACCTTGAAAATTGAAAGGTTGTATGGTATGTATGAAATTGGTCAATAGAAAGAATTGTATAAAATTTGACAATCCATTGTACATTGAAGACACGTGTTAAATCTCACCATATCAAAATACGCGCGCTTTTTTATTTTTATGAATTTAACCGAATTATCAATTATCGAAATGATTATGAACTGAATAATATAAATTATATAAATTGAGAAATTTATTACTTATAATATAAATATTTTAAAATAATATTATAATATTATTAATATTATTAATATTATAGATATTATATATATGAAAAAGTAAATGATAATTTAAGATAAATTGATTCACACATTGTTTTAAACGTAATACATATACATACAGTAACGCCATCCTAAATACGGACTTAACAAGTTCTCATGCATGCAGACAAAAATAAAGATATACCAAATCAATAATAACACAGCGGTCTAGATCCAGCTATTTTTTTTATTTCATTAATAATAAGGTAAAAAAATACATCATTTTTTTTAAAAAAAAATTCGTATATATAAGAAAGTGATCCTTTTCCTTTATGATTCACATCTTAATCATTTAAAAAAAAACATCTCTCTTTTTTTTTTTTAGGAATTATATTTTAATCATTCGGTGTCCTTAAATTACTTTCTTCGTTATTTTTAAATCTTTTATAACATCCATCTAATTTAAAATGTGAGTGTAAGATTATTTGTGTTTCTTTGTTTAACGCTAATAATAATAATGTGAAATTATTAAGATGATATGTTTTACATATGTCGTATCTAATAATAATATTATTATAATAATAATAACAATTACAAATAAAAAAAAAATGATTTAATATATATATATATATTTCTTTTAATAAAAAATATATTTCTTTAATACAAAAATACCTAAAAAGAATCCTTAAATATCTTTGATCTATATTTTTCTTTTCTTTTTTTTTTTTGTTCGTCAAAATTGACGATGGAAAGTTCCGGTTCAGCTAACAAGAAAGATGAAATTGAAGGATACGAAGACGATAAAAGTCGCACTAGAATTATCGCTCTTGCCGTTCGTGAAGCTGTAGCCGTAGCCTTTGGGGTAAATGATGCAGACTGGAACGCTGCTTGTAGGTCGATTATACAAAACGATTTGTTGACCACAACCGAAAAATCAACCATTATAGCTTTGTTGAATCAGAAAAAGCAAATAAATGAAAAGAAGGAAGTTAATTAATTTTCCAAGTTCGCAAAAAAAAAAAGGTAAAAATAAAAAAAAAAAGTTAAACATATTTTTATTCCAACAATCATCTTACAAATAGATTATTTTTCCTTTGGGGACGTTAAAAATCAAAAATTGGTCGCACAAGCAGAAATAATTATTAATTAAATTTACCCAAAATTAATTTATTGGGATTATTGTGTTCCCCCCAAATCACTTTACCCAAAAATGTGGATAGGTTAATTTTGCCCACTTAAACTGAAAGTGAACGATCGTATAGCGTTCTTTATAGCATTTCCTATTATAGTATATTTGTATAAGAGTCCGGGGTTTCAAAATGGTATAACATAGTTCATAATTAATAGAACAATTTTTATGATGATTGTTGGAAAGGTCTTAAAATATTTATTATATATTTACTAATTAATTTTTTTTAATTTTGGGTAGCGACTTGAATTTTGAGCAATTTCTTTGAACGAAAATTTATTATATATACGAACCACCAAACTTCGATTTATTATTTTTAATTTACTACCTAATTCGTTTGATTATCCTTTTTTAACGCACAACGGCACAACTATTATTTTACGTATTATTCGATATAATTTAAACGCGTAATCATTATATTATTATATTTGATAAAAAAAAAAAGAGCTAATTACGTTTTTTGAGAGGAAACTGCCGAAGGAACTGGACCTTGCCCTAATTCGTTTAATAACTTGAATTATTTCTTTTTTTACTTCCTTAACTTATGATAAATAACATAATTTCTTAAATTTCAACCCCTAAAAAATATTTTAAATTCAGCCCCAATCTCCAACCCCTAAAAAATATTTTAATAATTTCTTAAATTTCAACCCCTAAAAATATTTAAGATTTTTTTTTATAAGCTGGTAAACATTCATTAATTTCGATATCATTCTTTAATTAATTGATTGATAACGATTATAATGATAGAATAAGAATTCTTTTTTTATGATTCTCATAGATACAGAATATATCTATAATTAGTTATCTTCAATAATAACTTGGTCATTATTGCTTTATACAAATGATTAATAAGGAAATACCACGATTACAATTATTATTAAAAATCGATCTTCGCACCCGTGAACTTATTATTCAAATTGATTTATAAGGAAATTTTGAACTTAAGTAAAAAATAGTTTCTCTAAACCAAATTGAGTACAGTCTCTAACATTTTGAAAGTAAGACATGAACACCTGGGATATAAACAATGTAATAGTTAATAATAAAACTTTATTTTTAAAAATAAATAACGAAAAAAAAAAAAAAAATCTTTTTTTCTTTTTCAGTTATTTTTCATTGTTTTGTCAAAATGAAACTTGATGCATATATGTAAAATTACATCATTATACATTTCTTTATCTCAAAAGAAGAAGACTGTGAGGTTTGATTACTGGTTTGTTTCAAAGCAGTTTCTTTATGAAGTAATTCCATGGAATTGATTTTTTATTTGCATGATATTAATTATATTTATATGCATTAAAGAAATAACGGAATATTTATTATTTTTTTTTTTTTATAGATATTTTCCTATTTTAATTATCATTTTCCTTATTTAATCAAAAAAATAAAAAAAAAATAAAAGAAATCAAAAATTTCAGATAAATAAAAACCTTAAAAAAAAAAAAGTTTTGATGTTTCGTCTTCTTTTTTTTCTTTTTTCAATTATATATAATATATAATTTTATTATATATAATTTAATTTTATATATATGATTTTATATTATATCTCTTTATATTTTTCTTATTTTTCCTAGATAAATATAATGTCCAAATCGTTAAAACAACAGGAAATATACCATCACCTCGTAGTGGACACANAAAAAAAAAAAATTTTTTTTTTTTTTTTAACCATCTTTATATTCTTTTTATAATTAAAAACAGTAATTTTTTTTTTTAAAAAAAATAAAATAAAAACTTTAAAATTATGAGCGTTTTAACCACTCACTCAATATCTTCAACAAGATCAAGACCCCTTATTAATAATCCAATTTTTCCTTGGGCAAAAATTAAATTATCTGAACATTATAGAAATCTTTTTCCAAGATATGGTCATTCTTCATGTATAAATGCTGTTAAAAATGAATTATATTTCTTTGGTGGAATATCATGTGAAAAAGTTAATAATCATGTATTTTTATTAGATACCGGTAATTTTTTTTATGTCAAAAAAACTCAATTTTTTTTTTTTTAAAAAAAACAAAAAATACCAGTTATTAATTATTCAATTATATATAATATATAATTTTATTATATATAATTTAATTTTATATATATGATTTTATATTATATCTCTTTATATTTTTCTTATTTTTCCTAGATAAATATAATGTCCAAATCGTTAAAACAACAGGAAATATACCATCACCTCGTAGTGGACACACACACGTACGTGTGGGACAAAATTTAGTAGGTAAGCAAAATTCGTGTACTTACTTAATCTAATCAGTCGTCTCATGATTAATTTAATAAAAATTTTTTTTTTTTTTTTTTTTTTTTTGAAATTAGGAACGAAAGAATGGACAAGACCTTCCATAAAAGGGGTCACACCTCTAGGAAGATATGGTCATTCATCTGTTTTAATAGGTTCTATAATGTACGTGTTTGGAGGTTGTATAGATGATTGTTATTTAAGTGATTTGGTAGCATTTGATACAAAATTTCGTAAGTTGAAAGATTTTGATCATTATTGATTTTTTATATATGATCTATATGAAAATTCACGTTTTTTTTTATCATTCTCTTATAGTTGATTTAAACGAAGGTTGTTGGGAATTTATTGATCCAATAAATGATCCTCCTCCTGGAAGAACAGGCCATATATCTTGCGCTTATAAAGGAAGAATATACATGTAAAAAATTATTTTACTTTTTTTTTTTTTCTTTTATTAATCGTTCATATTCTAAATAATTTTTGTTTTTTTTTTTACAAAGATTTGGCGGAACAGATGGAGAAAGATGTTTTAATGATATATGGTATTATGATATAGAAACAAGAGAATGGGTAGAATTAATTTGTGATAATTTTGCTCCTGTACCACGCGAAAGTCATGGTGCAGCTTTAGCTAATGATGTTATATATATTTTTGGTGGAAGAACAAGAGATGGTAAAGAATTATCTGATCTAGCAGCTTATGGAATAAATAGTATGTATTTTCATTTTCTTTAATAAGCGTTTTTTGTTTTTTCATTAATTCAACTCACACTCCTTTTTTTTATAAATATATTTAAATTTTATATACAATTTATAATTTAATTAATTAAAAAGATGAGAGATGGTATATGTTTCAAAAGATGGGTCCTTCACCTGGTCCTAGATATTGGTTAACTGTATCATCATCAAAAAATATAGTTATGGTATTTGGTGGTACATCAACAAATTCAACTAAACCAGATGAAGATGGAATTATTCATATTTTAGATACTTGTAATTATAATTAATTATTTTTATTTCTTTTTTTTTATGACAAGAATTTTTCAAATATTGATATTAATATATTAATTAACTTTTCTCTTCTCTCTCTCTCAGCTAAAATAAAATATCCTATTGATACAGATCCAGAATCAAATCAATCACAATTACAAATGGTTTTATCTACATTTCCTAAACATAAACCACTTCCAAAGTTACGTCAACCACCATTAACTAATAATGAAAGGGAGATTACTTTTGAAAATTTTAATAGTAAAATTGAATTAAAAGCAAGAAATCCTGATGTAAGGAATCCTTCTTCTAGAGCTTCATCAAGACCTCCATCAAGACCAAATTCTCGTAATTTTGGTAATCTTGATATTTCAATGATGCCTCTATCAATAATGTCGTTATCATCATCATCACTAACGGTACCATCAGCAACAACAACAGCACCACGTGGAAAATCTGGTGGAAATAAGCGTCATTCAAAAAATTTAGAAAAAGACATTAATATTAATAATAATAATAATAATAATAATAATAATAATTCTAGACCTTCAATAATTGAATCAAAAAAATCATCAAATACAAATGAAAAAGTAAAAAAAAAAGTTACTCCTAAAAAAGATATATTTACAGAAAAAGAAATAAAAAATAATATTCAAGATAATAAAATTGAAAATGTGATCTCTTTAGAAAATCCATCAGTTGATATTAAACAAAAGAATATAATACCTCCTTCTATACAAATTGATACTGAAAATGAGGATGAAATACCTGAATCAACAAAAGTCTTGAAAAGATTTTCTGCCGAAAAAAGTATTTTACAAAGACAAAATAGTGTTGATACAGTTCGTTCTGTTCGATCTTTATCAAGTCCAAGTCTTAGACCGAAAGGTGCAAGACAATTGGAAAAGAGGAGTAAAGTTAAATTAGCGAATGATAATTCTAACAACAATTCTTCTCCGATCAATCCTTCTCAACCTGAACTTCAAATCCCTACTAATGATGAAATCACTTCAATTAAATTAGGAGAAGCAATTTCAACTAAATCACAAGAAGCAGCTGTTATTTTGGCTAAATCACAAGAGGAGGTTATTTCAACTAAATCACAAGAAGAAATTAAATCGAAAGAAGAAGTTATCTCGACCAAATCAAAAGAGGAAATTATTTCGACTAAATCACAAGAACAGGATGTGACTTTGGCTAAATCACAAGAAGGGGTTAAATCAAAGGAGGAAGTTACTTCAACTAAATCACAAGAAAAGGAAGTTACTTTAACAAAATCACGGGAGAAAGTTACTTCAACTAAATCACAAGAAAAAGAAGTTACTTTAACAAAATCACAGGAAAAAGTTACTTTAGCAAAATCACAAGAAAAAGTTACTTCAACTAAAACACAGGAGAAAGTTTCTTCGGCCAAATCACAGGAGAGGGTTACTTCTACTAAATCACAGGAAAAAGCTGCTTCTGCTAAATCACAAGAAAAGGCTACTTCTAAATCACAGGAAAAGGCTACTTCTGCTAAATCAAAGGATAAGGTTACTTCTTCTAAATCACAGGAAAAGGCTACTTCTAAATCGCAAGAAAAGGCTACTTCTAAATCGCAAGAAAAGGCTACTTCTAAATCACAGGAAAAGGCTACTTCTAAATCACAGGAGAAGGCTACTTCTGCTAAGTCAAAAGATAAAGTTACTTCTGCTAAGTCAAAGGAAAAGGTTATTTTGGCCAAATCACAGGAGGAAGTTAATTCTGTTTCAACTAAATCGCAAATCATCTTGACTGAATCACAAGAAGAAACCATTTTGACTAAATCGCCAGAAGAAATTTCCGTGACTAAATTGCAAGAAGAAATTGCCGGGACTAAATCACAGGAAGAACAAGAAATTATTTCAGAAGAAATTTCTTCTGATAGATCGCAAGAAGAAATTGCTTCAGATAATTCGCAAGAAGAAATCGCTTCAGATAATTCGCAAGAAGAAATTGCTTCAGATAAATCGCAAGAAGAAATCGCTTCAGATAATTCGCAAGAAGACATTGCTTCAGATAAATCGCAAGAAGAAATTGCTTCTGATAAATCTCAAGAAGAAATTGCTTCTGATAAATCGCAAGAAATTTCTTCTGATAAATCACGAGAAATTGTTTCAGATAAATCGCAAGAAATTACTTTGGTTAAATCAGAAGAAATTCCTACGTCTTCACCATCAATTCAAAATGTACCACCTCAACAAGTTTACTATGAAGCAAGCAAACCACCTCCTGTTCGTCCACCAAGACGTCGTTTACAATCGGAACCTCTAATAATTGATACAAAACCAATAGAACATAATAAGATTAAACAAATTGAAGAAAAAGATTTAACCACACCTTCTTCAATTTCTTCAAAAAGTTATGAAAGGAAAATTTCCATAACAAGTTCAGAGGGTGGACCTTATCCAACAACTCAATTATCTTCTTTAGAACGAGAAAATTTCTTAGAAAGATTATCTGATGCAGATTTTAAAATATCTGAATTAAGAAAACGTGAAAAATTATATCAAGCTGAAATTGATTTGGCAAGAAAAGCTGGTTATATACCAACATTTAGTTTTAGTGATGATAATAATGAGGATTTGGAAAATATTATTGATATTAATGAATTTACTGATATTGGAAAACCTGGATCCGAAAAATTCAAAGTTATTGAAGCTATTATTAAATTAAGTCAACAATTACAAAAAGCAAAGGTTAGTACAAAAAGAAGTTTTTAGTTCACTGAACTTTTATCAAGAAAAGTTTTTTAATATTTTTTTTTTTAACCGTTTTTTTTCTTTTTATTTAGGAAACTATTGCATATCAAGAAAGAGTGGCATCACAAAAGATTTCAGATTTTGAAAGGTTATATACTGCATCATTGGAAGAAACAGCATATTTTAAAGCCAAGTTTGCTGCTTTAATGAATGAATATGAAACTGAGAGATTAGCAAGAACGGCGATTGATGTTGAAGAAATAAAACAACGATTAAATGAAAAAACGCAAAGATTAGAAAAAACAAGTCAAGAAGTTGAAGATGCAAAAAATAAAATTGAATTTATTCGAGAAGTTATTTCAGATAAATTAAATATTGAACCAGATGAGAAAGGAATTATATCATCACGGTTTAAAGAAATTGCAGCTCGTTGTGATGAATTAGAAGCACTTCATGAAACTGCGCATAAAGAATTACGAGCTTCTTTATCAAAATATAAAGAAACTGTAAGATATGCTCAAGGAACTTTATCTAAAAATAATTCAGCTAAAGGATTAGAAAATAAATTAAAATCGGTAGAAAGTACGACGGTGAAATCACAAGAACAACTTGTTGATATAAAAAATAGATTAAGTCAAGTTGAATCGGATTATCAAACAGCTGTAGAATGTACTACAAATGCGGAACAAGTATTAAATCAAATGAGGGAAGAATTAATACAAAGTAAATTAGAAATGGAAAAATTAAATGAAAAATTAATTAATGTTGGAAGTCATAATGAAACATTAGAAAATAGACTTAAAGAATTACAAAATTCGATGAATTCTCACTCTAATATTAGAAATTCCATATTACAAGAATATGCGGATCAACAATTGGGAGAACAACAAATGTATTATGAGCAAGAGAAAGAATTTCTTCATCAAAAAATCCAGGATTTAGAGACCAAAATTAATCTTGCACAAGATGAAAAAAGTTTAATGGATCAAGGTTATGAAGCTTTGAGGAGAATTTACGAATCTTTGAGAAAACAAAATGAAATATTGAAAAAATCGAATGAAATGTTATTAAAACGAACTTTAGAAACAGGACCGAAAGAAGATAATTTAAAAAATGAATTAATAAAAAAAGCGGTCGAAGTTAAACAGGAAGAAAAAGAAGAAAAATTAGTGGAAGAAAATTTGTCAAAGGAAGAAAATTTGTCAAAAGAAGAAAATCTGTCAAAAGAAGAAAATTTGTCAAAGGAAGAAAATTTATCAACGGAAGAAAATCAAGGTGAAGAATGGGAAAAAGAAAAGAAATTACTAGAACAAAAAATTTCAGTATATTTAGAATCAAACGAAAATCTTGAGAAGAATAATTTAGTATTAAAAAAAAATGTAAATGAATCAGAAAATAAATTCGCAATATTATTAGATCAAATGGAAAATGTCGCTGATACTTATAGAGGGATTGAAGACAATATAAGGGAGGGAAGTCCCGCTTTAGTCGGACCTATAATACGAAATAAAATTAGTTCAAGCTCATTAAAAGAGGAATAAAATTCAATTCAGACATTTGGTACATTAGTTTTTAGATTTGATTAATTATTTATTAAAAATAATACAAATCTATTTAAAACTTTTACATTATTATATCAATAAAAACAAAGTACATTAAGTAACATAATAAATTTATCATTTTTAAATTTTTAACTTTATATCTTATACTAATAATCAATAATGTGAAAATGAATGATTCGAACTTTTATTCAAAATTTCATTATTTCCAGTTCCAGTTCCATTAATCGGGGTCAATCTTTTACTATTATTTGAAAAACTATAAACGGAAACGGAATCATTTTTACTATGCACACTTTGAGTTGTAGAAAAATAAGTTGTAGAAGCCAAACTTGAAATATCAATACTTGAATCAGATCTATGATGTGTAATTTGATGTTGTTCAATTGGAATTTCTCCAGATAAAAAATCTCCTAAATTATCATAAAATAACAATTCATCCCATCCTGATGTGTAAGGTGTGAATGGAGTTGGTAATGGATGATCATCATGTACAATTATTGACTTTGTTTGTGTTTGTATTTCAGGAAGTGTTCTCTTTGATCTCTTTGATCTCTTCGATGATGATGGTGATTCTGACCTTGGTCTCTCAGAAAATGATGAGAATCCAATTTTTTGAATACTTCGTGATTTTGACGACATTTCCGTTGATATTGGCCTTCTGACAACACTCATCATTCTACCAAATGGAGCATTACTTTGAGTTGGTCTTACAGCACTAAATAATTATAAATAAATGAATTAGTAATTTATACCAAAAAAAAAAAAAAATTACATATATGCAGTATATAAATAATAATGCTTACTTGTATATGATTATGAATTGAGCTATTTGAAGACTAATAGGTTCAACAAAATTCCAAATAATAAAATAAACAACATTAATTGAATCATTATTTTTAAATGATGATTTATAAGAAATTCCAAAAATAAAATAAATTATTATAAAAAGAAATCCAAGGAATACGAAAACCATAACAACTGTAAATAAATTTATGGAAGCAACTTTTAAAGTTTCACGCTTCCATTGTAAAGTGAAATCACCATTTGGTTTATCTGATATTTCTTTTAAATCATTCATATGATATTTTAATAAAGAATTTAATCTATGCCAAAAATATAATAATATTGTTAAATATGTTGTTAACCAAAAAATCCAAATTAAATATTTTGTTGTAAATAATTTAATAGATATATACGGAATTTCTTCAATATCCGCATAATATCCAATATAATATGATATTGGTGTATTAACTATATATGGTCCAATCATTAAGAATGTTGCTCCGATATCAATTAAATATTTATTCGGTATATATCGTCTATAATAATCAATTCTTGCAGGTTCCAATGTAGGTATTGAATATACTAGTAAAAAAGAAGAATAATAAAAAACGTTAAAATTTTATAACGTGACATTTCACGTGAAATTTCACGGGACAATAAAATTTTACGTCATAATTTAAAATTCTGTAACTTCAAATATCACCTCCCCACACGTTAAATATTCATCCCATGTTCACCCCCATGTTAAATATTCACCCTACGTTAAACAGAATTTCAAATTGTAACATTCTTATTATTAATTAACTCACTGATTCCAACAAGATATAATATCGAAAATGAAAACGATGTTTGTCTTGGTAGATCATCCACAACTGAAAAGTTAATTAAATGTAAGTATAACTGACTGATAAAAAGACATATTATATGTATTATATGTAGTATATAACTTACTTTCCGCCCATATTGAACTTGAATATGCTCCTCTTATTAAAAAAATTTGACGAATGACATGTAATATACTGAAAGTGAGTGTTACTAAATGAAATGCATCATGAGGTCTTGGACGTATAATACCTGCGTATTTTTTTAAACGTTAATGCTTTTCAAATTTAATAAAGATCTTTGATAGCATATATATATATATACTTTATTTAATTACCTCTTTCTCTTGAAGGTGGAAATAATAAAGATTGTCCTTTATAATATATCCTATACCATAAAAATATTATAGAAGTTACAGCAATAAATGAGGCATAAGGAATTAGAATCCAACTTCCCGTCCTTAATAAATAAGATTCTAAACAATTATTTTCGTTTATTCGAAAATCACATACACATTCTAATTGTGCTTTAACATTTTGATGTGATTCCACACATGCTAAGGTAAAATTATTTATTAGTTGAACCATTTATATGCTAATATTTAAATAAACGCTTTTTTTTTCCTTTTTCCTACCAACGAACACACTTTTTTTTTTCCTTTTTTTTTTTTACAATATCATGAGTCGTTTATAAATTTATATGAAAATGTAAAAATGATGCTTTTTTTATGAATGAATGAATGCTGCTTAATGTTTATTAAAATTATTAAATGAACTATCGACTTAAAAGAATGAATACTTTCATTAATTGGATAATAATAATAATTAATAATTATAATTAATAAATCGAAATGATGAAAGAGACTATATGAAAGTAAAGATGGGATAAATATACTTTTAACAAGAAGTGATGTATAAAATTTCACTTTTGTGATCAAAATAAATATGCAAAAATTTTTATTCAATGAATAAATATATATTGAATTGTTTGTTTTTTGTGACCTTCATTTAAAATGTCTCATATCGGTTAGTATCTAAGCATTTTGATGCTATCTGTAACAAGTAAAAGAGTAGAAAATTTTACACGAACACAGAATATAAATAGATAGTTTTCATTTATAATTTATCCATGCATCAAATATTATAAGTTTGTAATACATAAAAAATCCAATATGCATATAATTATATACGACTTAAAGAAAAATTTTCTTTTTTGGGTGGAACTTATTGAAATTTTTTCCTTATTATTATTGTAACATTTAAATTTTTATTGATTAAATCACCTTTTTTTTAAGGGTTATGCGATACAAAATCAAATAAATACGTAGAGATGGACGTATAGAAATTAATTAATGACGTAAAAAACTAAGAAGAAGCCGCACAATATCGGTTATTATTATTATCTAGATTGAACATTCTACAAGCAACCAAACATTCTATATGTTTAAATTTAGTAAGACTTAAAAATGTTTGAATATCACGATACCCTTTTATCATAATTTATGTCACCATCGTCAATGTATACAAAATATTCGTTTAATCACACGAGATAGAAGAATCTTTAACCGAGATTATAAGATAGAAGAAATCTTTAACCGAGGTTACAAAATAGAATAAATCTTTAAACCGGATTTACAGTATGTTTTTTGATCAGCAATGGCAAATTTATGTGTGGCGTTTCTCAAGCACATGTTTTTAATTAACCAAAGAACTTGAACGTTTCACGCAAAGGTCTCAGAATTTTAAGGACCATGTTTAATATTGTTTGTATTAATTGCGCCATAAATTTTGTACAATGCTAATTGGACAACTAGATTTCTTTTTAGATTTTTTTTTTGAATTATGATTGAGCTGAACGAGTTTTGTATTTTGAGAAGGCAAAGCTTATCAACTAAAGAAACAAAGAAATTTGGCTAAAATTAATAAATAATAATAATATACAAATAATTTAAAATTGGTAAACAAATAATGAATGATTAGCGGAATACCTTAATCGAGTAAATATTTCAGAAGAAATAAAAAAGGCATGGAAATGTTTTGAAATGTGTGAAATGAAATAATTAAAACTACGTTACATGTATCGTATTGAATTGAAAACAATTAAAACTTTTTAGGAATCTTTCTAAGTTTGAATAAAATTATCAATCGACTATTCTAATTGGGAAGATTAAAGTGTTTCATTAATGCTGCCTTAAGGAAAAAGTCGTCTGTGAATATTACGTGCTACGAAAAAGCAAAATAATTACGCAAAATAACTTTAAAAAAAAAAAAAATGCCAATTTTCTTTTTTAAGTCTAATGATCAATATCATGTTTCTTTATTTGTGCAACGGAAGAAATGTTAAAGAATTATTTCATACATTAAATAATAAAAAAAAAAACACAAACGCGAATATAATAACATTAAATATATATCTAGCGTTATAATTCGACCGTTAAAGCAAAGTTGCCATAATTCGAAAAATGATCTGTAATGGCGTCAAGCCATACCATTGTGTGTAAATAATTTAGGCTGCAGTACAAAATATTGTTACCATATACAAACACGGTAACCTTTAAAAATAAAATCGATTATTCGAAAGCTAAAGTAATTTAACTATAATAAGAAACAAAAGAAGTACGCAACCTCTGGTATTTGCAAATAGCAACATATAATTTCATTATTATCATGTAATCCGAATTTTAAGATATTGATGTTGTCAAACTGTATTTTGCATTTTTATTCTAATAAAGAAACTTTTAAACCGCTCATGATTATCAAATAACCTAACTCATAATTATTAATTATATTTTGGCAGTATCACCACATTAAGGTTATCTGATGAAAATCATCGTTCCAGAAAAAACCGGATAATTTCGATACAATTCTCAGTAATTAAAGCTGTTAAAATATTTTTGCAATTTTAAGTATACGATAAATTGGACTTCATTATAAAAAAAATTATGTGACCTTTAAACTGTACAATAAGAATGAATTTAATAATTTTAACCAGGTTTACTATACGAAATAATTATATTAATATTTTGCATTAAATAGTAAAATGAAATTATTGTGAAATAAGTAAAAAGCTTATTGCTATAAGTATTAAATAAAAACTATTTATTCAACTTAACTATAGTATAATTACAGTACGTTACTTATACAATCAAACCTCAAATAACTTAATCTAATCAGATTTATTAAAAAGAAATTTTTAAAAACTTTTACTTACAATTTATAATCAATCATGTGATTTGATATCGACCAATCATTTTCAGAATTCAGATCATGTGATATGCATTTTTATTTCATTATAAATATTATCATGTACATGTATTAACTACTTGCCCACTTGACATAAAATAAAAAATGTATTAACTACTTGATTTAATAAATATTCCACAGTCTATCATCTTGCTTCAATTGAAATTTCTGGATATAATAAAATTTCTTCTTTATTTAATTTTAATTTTTTAAAAAATTTATAGATTTTTCTTGTCCTTTTTTTTTTAAAGATAATTTGTAATTTTATTAAAAAAAACTTATACTTTATTTATTATTATAAAATAAATATTCATTATAAATAATTAAAAAATATATTTTTTTATTTAATTAAAGTAAATAGATTTATTTTTTTTTTTAGAAATAAAAGATAAAAATAAAAATAAAATAAAAAGTAAAACAAATTGTACTTTTAACTTTTATCATAAAACTAAAGAATCTAAAAACTAAAAGAAAGAAAAAAATTAGAAATAAAAAGCAAAAAATAAAATAATTTATAATTTTTTTTTTTTCTGCAGCACATTTGCAGTTTTATTAAAGTAAAAAAAACAAATTAGAAGAAACTATATATAAAATAAGTTCTAATAATATCTACTCTAATATAATTAAACTACAAACCACTCGTCATACATATAGTATTTCACATGTGCACTGTCGAGTAATCGTTTGACTCCGTAAGTAGACTTTGTTTAGAAACAGGTCACCATCTTAGACATAAGGCCCTATCTTCAACGTCAGGTAATCAAAAATAATTTATAATTAATTATATTTTTTTTATAATTATCAAAATAAATTTAGTTATAATTTATAATATTAAAATTACTTTTTAAACTAATGAATTTAAAATTATTTTAAATTAAAATTAGTTTAAAATAATTTAAAGAATTATTTCAAATTTCAAATTTTTTAAACTTAATAATTTTAAGCAAATTTTAATATTTTAAATTAATTTCAAATCAATTTTAAAGTTTAAACTAGTTTAAAATTAATTTAGAAGGTTAAAATTAATTTAGAAAATGGAATTTAATTTAAAAGTTCAAAATTACAAATGCTATTTATTATAATAATACTTTTCAAATTATTTATAGCAAAAAAATCATTATTTATTATGTTTTATATAATAAAAATAGTACAGTGCTCACTAATAAATCACCAGCCACCTTTAAATTTATATAACTATTATGCAAATATAATTATATGTAAGAATTGGCCATTATATTTTAAATTTTATTAGAAAATTTAAAATTTCAATAGAGATTTTTAGGTATTAATAAAAAATTAAATAATTTATTCATCAATACTTTAATTTTTTAATAAAATTGTTTATTATAATTTATGGCATATCATTATTAAAATATCATCAAAATTAATAAAATGATTAAAAAGTTATATACATTTAGCTAATATTTGCTAATTATTTGTAGATCATCAAGCGTTAACTAATGTATTGAATTTGGCCAAATTTTTTTTTAAAAATATTTGGTTACAACTATTTATCTTTAAATTTTTTATCATAATAAAATTTAAGATTATAATTTATTCTTAATTTGATAATTTATTAATAATAAATAGATGTAAAATATATTTGTAAATATATGTAATTTATCAATTATTTTATTGATTTTAATAATACTTTATAATAATAGTATATTAAAAATTATAGTAGACAATTTTATTTAAAAAAAACTATAATAAAACAAATATTTTAATATTATGATAATACTTAAAGATTCTATTAAAATTTTAAATTTTCTGATAAAATTTAAAATATAATGGCTAATTCTTATTAAAATTACATATAATTTTTAAAGTAAATGTAATTCAATTTGATGACCAACTTTATTTATATGATAAAAAGCAGGTTTATTATTAAAAAAAAAGTTTACATATGTCCATATTTGCGTAATAGTTATACAAATTTAAAGGTGACTGGTAATTTATTGGTAAGTGCTATATATTTAAGGTTGCTTGCCGAAACTAGAGGGTTTCGGCAGAATGGCATACGCGAAACTGCCGAAACTAGTTTCGCGAAATCATCAAGAAATGCTGAAACTGCGAAACCTATCAAAATCGCGAAACTGCCGTAACTTGCCGAAACTGTTTCGGCGTTTCGGCAATACTTT